ACCAACCCCCCCCCCCCTCACTCTCTAATTGGCATTTTGTGGTGAATTTCTGTTCAAGAATTGCCACTCACGGCGTTGCAAAAGCTCGCCGGTTAACAATAAAATATACCTGCACGTATGTATGTGTGCCAACAACGTAAAAGCAGCAATGCTGTGTCACTAAAACCATCTCTAAACTCAAGCCAAAACTTGTATCACACGCTTGTATTGAGTATCATAAGGTTTCATCTAGTCACATGGCGATAAAATAGGTTCTTTGAGTTAAGTAAAATGCAAAAAAACATCCTCTTCGGAAGACTCTTTTGTCTTATTGACTCATCTGATGTCGAGCTTAAACCGGCGCCCACGTTTGAAAACCGGTTGGTTTACAACTGAATTATCATAATATGGGTAATAACGGAAGCTACCGTACGAGTCATTGACACTGACCATTCACCCACTCAGGAGCTGCGCGGGAAGTGCAACTGCGCCCGTGGCCCGATTCCATTCATCTCAATAAGCCTCGGGTCCGAATTTTAACGAAATCCTCTGCATTATTCATTCATTAATCGGCTGTTGACTCCTTGCATCTGATCTCCGCATTACAGAGAACTTGCAGGTGTCGCATGCGTCGTGAGACTTGTCGATAAATGGACAGAGTCCGTGCGAAAGGAACCAACCAGTGTTCGAAACTCACAGGCGCCAACGCGCCAAATGCGCCTAAAACATCGGCCATGGCGCCTAAAAAATGAAGGCTCTGCGCCAACATGGCCCCTAAAAATCCGAATTTTCATATCAGGGGATTATTTGAAATTTGCAGCACTACAAGGGAGAGCTTTTTCTATTCTTCACGATTTTATCCTTAGTGCTTTTATCTTCCCCAAGTTACAGCTTCTTACTAGTTCTGTTACGAAAACATCTTGCGTCTAACTTTTCACTAAATGCGCCGTAATATATGGGCAAAAAGTCAATTTGGCCCCTAAAAAATCTACAATGGTGCCTAAAAATCGGGCTTGATGCGCCACATGGCTCCTAAAACTCAACGGTGAGTTTCGAACATTGGAACCAACCCACATTAAGTTGAAACTGAGAGAAAGAGGTTTGAAGTTTTATTCCTCCATAAGGCTCAATGTAGAAAATAAACTTTAACCCCTCTTTTCACAAACTAATTTCTGTTTTTCGTCTTTCAGTTTTTGGCAGGAGAAAATATAAAAGGAACTCAAAAACATTCTTAACTCAATTTTTTCGAAAATGTGGGTTGGTTCCTTCCTGATAAACTCGGTCCGAATTTCATTTATAAATCGAAGTCACTGAGTGAACTGAGCATATCCTCGCTTCTTAAACGAAAAATCCCGCCTCCTGCTGTCACAAGGCGATGAATTTCTTCAATTTTAAATCTATTTGTGACACGATCTGTGAAAAAGGAGGGACTTTATCCTTCGAGAGAAAATCTTTTACGAGCGCCGACTTTAGGGGGAAAGGACTCGTGTTGGACACTTTTTTTTGCGAAAGCCCTGTCAACACTACTAGCAAAAGTTCGTGGAACTTTGCGCGAAAGTTAAATTCCATAAGCCTACCTCTGTGCAGACAAGGCCTTCCATTTATAAGAAACTAACAAAAATATTATGGAAGAACAAACATAAATGTGGTTTAATAATTTCAACTTCCGCCTCCGTACCGCGGTGACCGCACTGTGTTTGGCGCAATGCGTGAAGTATTCATGCAGTCTTGTAGGCGCTATGCGTTTCACGCCGACTGCACTGTCTTTGACGCAATGCGTGAAGTATTCATGCAGTCTTGCAGGCGCGAATATGTGTTAAATGCCGTCCGCCGCGCCGAGGAAGGACTTCTCCTATTCGTCTCAAGTCTTCGTCATCATTGCTCTCTGCGCGACGCCGCGCCGCTCCAGGCCAAATTGCGTGTTTGGTTTCTCTCTTAACTGGACTTATTGAAGGTGCTGTCTCTTGTATCACCGAAAAACGACAAAATTATAAATTACTCAGAAAAGGAGAGATTTTGTCGCTTTTTCTCGTTTGTAATTTTGTTTCTGAATCCGATTTTTTATAAACGTACATATAAAATAAATGCAAAGTTTGCCGCCATGGGCCGCGGCCCATTTGGCCACCCCCTAAATCTGCCCCCCCCCAACATTTTACGCCCATACTGTTCTGATGCATGTAGTTGTGGTTCCAATCTTATTGTGGTAATAACTATTTTGAGCTGGTAACAATTCAGCATTGTTATCGAAATCGCACTATTTGGCAGCACGAAAGTAACATTGGAACTACGACTAGAAAATTAGGTGGGACTTGAAATCCATTATAAGTATTGTAAAAACACCGATTCTTCTCCACCATTTATTTGATTCGTAGTAATATTAAGTCAGTGAGGCTGTCGGACAACGCTTTAATTCTTTCATGAAAGTATAACGGACAGAACTTAACTCAAAGTAAGTGGGTTTATTGAATGATTCGCCAAGAAATGGGTATGATTTTAGAGAAGCTATACACACAGGTAATCACTACCTACGTAAGACGTAGGAGTGGCAAATATTGCACACATTGTCGAGTCATGTTTAAGGCGAGATTGGCTCGAGGCAAAATGCGAACTTGTCCTTCTAGAAAAAATTCAATGCTAAAGTTGGCTCCAGTGTGCGGCTCGTGCTTATGATGACGATTTTCTCGTCCACTTCAGGTTTTCAAACGTGCCTATAATCATGAAATTTTCCAAAGTTGGAAGTTTCCACAGTGGTTTTTTCTGTGTAGGGAAAAAAAATTAGATTAAGTATAGAAGTTTGACAGTACCTACTCACAAATCAAAGAGACAAATTCCCAGCTGGCATGAAAACCTGGAATTGTCAGGGGGATTTGCGACGTGGAAACCAGAAAAAAATCAAGGAATTTCCTAAAAAAGTTTTGAAAGTCAAGGCATTTGTCTCGAAGAAAAAGTAAATCGAGACCATAAGAAGAATCTTTGTAGTTTGTACAGTCGGTTAGTTTGTAAATAAAAATAATACAAAAAAAAAAGGTTAAGCTAGATCATTATTATCAGAAATTCATTATTATGTTGTGTTTCACTTTGCCACAGCCTGTACGTAACATTTTTAGATTTTTCACGGCTCAAACTGTATCAAATGGACCCCGAAAAGTGAAAAGTAATTACTTTGGGAAATTTTCCAATAGGTATATTCAATAGTAGATATTGTTTCGCAATTTTATTCATAAACCGATATATTCCTGGCCTAAGTAATTGTAAAATAAACCTGTATCTGATTTGTTTCATTTTTGGGGGAGGGGGAGAGGGGATCTTATATACTCCCCCATCTCGTTGTTCCAAAATTCGCCCGCCCTAAGTTTTAACTCATGCGCCGCACAGTAGATCGAGCTATCGGTAGAGGTCGGACATGATTTTTTTCACTATAATGGAGATGTTGCATGTGTGAGGAATTTGCGAATTGCCTGTTGATTCTTATGCAAAAGTTCGCGAGAAACACGATGGTGCCACTGGTTTTCTCTCAAATCATCTCCCAAGCTCAAAAAAAGCTCTAAAGTTGAAGTCAAAATGGAGGGGATATCCCAAGCTATCCTGAGAGTCCCCCTCTACATCAAGACGAACTCTCCATGCAAAGATACGGAGCAAATACATTGACAGGGCTGCCACTTTATTTGGGGACTCTAAAACTGAAAACACGGCATCACTGCTAAGATAGCGATCTCAGGATAGCTTGGGATATCCCCTCCATTTTGGCCTCAAGTTGAGAGCTTTTTTTGAGCTTGGGAGATGATTTGAGAGAAAACCAGTGGCACCATCGTGTTTCTCGCGAACTTTTGCATAAGAATCAACAGGCAATTCGCAAATTCCTCACACATGCAACATCTCCATTATAGTGAAAAAAATCATGTCCGACCTCTACCGATAGCTCGATCTACTGTGCGGCGCATGAGTTAAAACTTAGGGCGGGCGAATTTTGGAACAACGAGATGGGGGAGTATATAAGATCCCCTCTCCCCCTCCCCCAAAAATGAAACAAATCAGATACAGGTTCAGCTTCATTGCAAATTTTATGTTATTTTCGTCAAGTTTTCAATTTCAAGGGGTGCTCATTGGAGATTTTGCGAGAAAACCAATGAGACAAATTTCAAAACCTGAAAGTTCTGTATCGCTGTGGATCGAGTTATCGGTGGAGGTCGGACATGAATTTTTTCACCGTCGGTAACTGCAAATTTTTATGTCATATTTGTCAAATTTTCAACTTCAATGGATGCGCTCCATTTAGAAAACTTTACGAGAAAACCGATTTCAAAACCTCTAAGTTTTGTAATGACGGAGTTATAAGTCTTCAAAGTGTCTAAATTTAAGCCGACTTCTCCCATTGACCCGTTCCATTGTGCGCCACCACCGCTGCGCGTCCGTTCTTCCCGCTGACTTCAAACTTTTTTTCAAAGGGCTTTTCTTTGAATAAATGCCCGACTCGCTCGGAAACCCGCCTGACGATTGATTTGGCCCTACGTAACTGTGCAGCGTGTCTAGCATCAGGATTTTCCCAATCCATCAGAATTTGTGGTCAATCAGGATATAATCCCGCTTTCATCAGGATTTGAGGGAAAATCGGTCGTAAAAGCAGGATTTGAGAAAAGTCGGCCGTCCGTTTATTTTCTGTCAATTATCCGCTATCCGTCCGTTAATTTTCCTCTCCAAAAAATCAGGATTTGATCAGGAATCGGATAAATTGGGAAATCAGGATTTAACGGTCAAAAATCAAGAAAAACCAGGATTTTATCACACTGGAAAAAAAAATACATTGGATCAAGAGTCCAGACTCTTAAAAACATCGACAAGAAAAAGTACTCTTGATTCTATCAGAATCTAGCTTAAATCAAGAACGAAGCCTCTTAATTTAAGCGGATTTCGTTTTGATTCAAGCAAAAAACCGATTGAATCAAGATTATTTTTTCTTCTCAATGTTTTCATGAGTCTGGACTCTAGATCCAATGTGTTTTTTCTTTTCTAGTGGCCTGTGTAGGGACCTAACTGTAACATAGACGAAGACTCCTTCTTAGCCTGATCTTTTCGCTTATTACTTAAATAGCCCCTCGATTGCGGAAAAGCTGCTCGATTGCCGAGTTGAGCTCAGTGGCTCTTATCAATAAAGGAGGGGGGAGGGTGGGGGGGGGGGGGGCGATGAGTATCATAATAATTAAATAGGAAGGTAGGCATCGCATTCGGAAGGAAGGTCACCTTGATAGCGAAACCGATTCGACAAGAGCAGGCGGCGAGAGTGTGAAAAGCAGCAGCAATCACGTCGTCGCACAGTGGGCAGAGTCAATAGGAGAAGTCGGTCAAAATATAGAAACTTTGAAAGCTTATGTTTTCAAAAATATGAAACAAAAAATTTTAAGAGTAGTTTTCTTGGTTTTCCCGTGAAATTTTCTTTCAGAAATATCCTTTGAAATTGAATTTGTGACGAAATAAACATCAAAATTTGAAATTTTAGTCAACAATTTTATATCCGACCTCTTCTATCAGTTCGTTCCACCGTGCGTCGTCGCGTATCATTCATTACGCAGCTGATGAATTTTTGCAGAGCTTATTCTTGCCATTTTTAGTTCCTTACGCGTCGTGACGTCCATGTCTAATTCGAAATCTATCGATAGAACGATGTTTTACTCGAATCCAAAGGATGACGGGGATTTGCTGTAGGAAGGGAGAGAGAGAGGGGGAGAGAGGAAGAGAGAGCATGGAACTCAAATGCAAACGAAAAAAAAAATGTATTAAAATTGTCCAAAATTGAATCAGTTTTTTTTTTTTTTTTTTTTTTTTTTTTTTTTTTGAACCGGACATTAGTTCATTGATTCACTTCGAAATCAACGCAAACAGTTTATTTTTGCACGGATTCGCCTTCGAGACAATCGTCCATGAGAGTTATTTGAATCAGTCGGGAGCATGGAATAGACTAGCTCTCCGTTTTTTTCCATTTTTTCCCCAGGATATTCGCTCATTCGTTGCTTCGCGCAAGAAAGATAAAATATCCTTGGCAATTTTGGAGACGTTGCATTGTGCTTTAAGCTTAGTTTCAAGCCAAAAACGCCATTCAGTTACCTTGAAAAACGTTCTGTTTCAGTGTGAGGCAGGGCAAAATTATCTACTCTGCTTCTCCACCCCCCCCCCCTCTTCTCATGATACGCCATTATGGTTCTGGATTGAAAAAATCATTAAGTTTCTTTTTGATGGCTAAAGTAGAAGAATGTATATCTCTATCGCCACATTTCAAAACCGCCAATTACCTAAGGCAAATTTGTTTAAAAATGGAACTAACCAAATTATTTTTTTGAAACTTTCTGTGGATATTTTTGAATGAAAAGGCAATACTTACACAAAAAATTTGAAGAAAAACTGTTTGTTACAGTGCGCACTCCTAAGAAAGCGGATCCTCATGAAATCTTATGAGAAAGAGCGCATTTTATTTTCCTTTTGCCTCAGCCATCAATACCTATTTCATAAGCTTTGTCAAATTTAAAAATTTTGCCCTCTTAAAGTTCAATTTTTAATTGTTTCCTCCGCATAAAAGACGGATTTACGCTTCCAACCCGTAGCTGTCCCATATACCTGTAATTTGATGAATTTCTTTCTTTTGATCAACTCCTTACAGCCCCTCCTCTCATGTAATTTTATCACTTCAAATTTTTTCCAAAATGTAATTTTTTGTCTTTTGCATCGTAATAGTCTTAACTGAGTAATTAATTCTGGACGAATTTCTGTTTTCTTGAATATTTGTGTGCATACTGACCAACTGATTTATGGAGGCAAACATACTGGTTTTAAATGATTGAAGTTGAATGACATCATTATTTCGAATTAAATTAAAAAGAAACCAAGGCGTTGTTTCAATTTTAAACTTCATTTTAAGCTGAGGCTTTTCGGCTTGATGGCCATCTACATGTCAAATACCTAGAAAAGTTGCATATTTAGAGTCATATCAACACATAAAATAAGTGATACAATTTAGTCGACAAATAAATTTGAATTTTTCTGAACAGCACTATCGCTACTCGTTCAACCTAACATTTCTGATCATTAAAACATAATTGCTTTGTTTTTTATTTTCAGAACATGAATGTCTCCAGTGAAATGCTTGGAGGAGCTATCCTCCTCGTTGCTGGCTATGCACTCTTCAGTGCTAGCAAAGTATTTCGCTATTACACCAAATGGGTATTCTTCTGTATTGGAGCGTGCATTGCTGCCTCAATTTTTATTCCTGTCATGTTATTACGGCCCCGTGATTATAGAAATGGACTGTAAGTTTTTTTTTCTTTACAACCCTTATCATCAGTTATCATAGATTGTAAGTCAAATCAGAGCCTCACTCTTTTCTCTTTAAAGAAAGTAAAGTTTTAAGTTGAGCTTCCACATTCGATGGTGTCTCACATCTGTCATGTCCTCTCTAATAAATAGATTCTTTAACTCAGATATTTATTGTTCTCGATGCAAGTATTTTAAGTAACAACTTAAAATATTTGTGGGTACTTACTTGCACGTCAGTCTTACTTGGAGAAGCAATCATCTGAAAAAAAATGGACTATCCACACTATCCTTGTCTGACACTAACTATAAATCTTGTTCGCTTGACTCAAATTCTACATCTCAAAGGTGAATATAAAATTAGCATCCTTTTGAACTGTTCTGAAAAAAAAGGTCGCACTTAATTTTGTCATGAGTCCCTACAAGTTATGTTTAATCCATCCATCATCCATTCATCACACTTGCAAACCTTCTCATATTAAAATGTATCAAAAATCACCTTCAATTTTTGTTTCCAATGAGATCTGTGAATCCGTGTAAACCTTGTTTTAGATTACCGTCATGGGGAGCCAGGCAAATTTCAAAATGTCTAGGACTGAAATGGTCTGTACGTGGCACAGAAAACATTGTACAGGACACAGGCTGTGTCATTTTGATAAATCATCAAAGTGCTGTAGATTTAATCGGTAAGACATTCTTGTCAATTTTTCATTGTTCTTTTCCTCTTTTTTATTTAAAAAAAAAATGACTTTGCAACACCAAAAAAGGAAGCAGAAAAAAAGTAAGGAGGAAATACCTTACGGCAGTTTTATTCCTCTTTAGTTCTTTTCAGCAGCTATAGGTAATATATTAGGGGTATGCGGCCTGACCCCATAAGGCGTTTCCCACCCTTTCAGGCCTGGTTCGTGGGCCCCCTTAAGTTAATGTATTTAAACAGAACTGGTTCATATCCGCAGAAATCATGGAAATCTGCTCTGTAGATCTTCAGAATGAACCGAGACAAAACAATGGACAGTTATATTTTTCAAATGGGGAAATTCAGAACTTTATGGTATAATATTGAAAAACCTGGGTCATATTTCCAAAATCTGAATGAAATTGGCTCATCTAGGAATAATGTACTGCTGATAGCAGCAAAAATCATGGACATTGGCCCTGTAGAACGAGAAACACGATGTGACCAAATATGAAAATTTAGAGGGTCAGAGAGCTTATATAATATTAATTTAATACTGATTTTTGCCTTATAGTCTAGGTAGTGGTTAGTTCAGCAACCAAAATGTTAATCACTTCTCTTAAAGCAAAACCTCTTCAGTTGATTATTTGAAGATTGGGGAAAGGGGTCAATTAAAGCATGAAAAAAAAAAAAATTCTCCGGCAACTGTCTTGTCCCAAGATACTTGGTATCAGTACAATGATAATTGAGCACAAAGAAGTTTCAAATCCTTGCATTCCTCCTACTTCATCTCTAGTTAATCTATTCCTCAAAAATCCTCTTTTAATTTTTTTCTAGTGGCTCAATTTTTGTAATCCTTGTTTTCAGTCCTTGCAAACATTTGGCCAATAATGGGGCGATGCACTGTTATTTCAAAGCGGGAGATATTCTACTTGTGGCCGTTTGGTTTAGCAGCTTGGCTCTGGGGCACTATTTTCATTGATCGACTAAATGTAGAAAAAGCTCAAAGCACCATAAATAAGACCGGAGACACTATTCGAAATAATAAAGTAAGTTCAAGTTCATTTTCCTACAAGATCATTTTCTTAAGCACAGTAGAATCTAAAAATCATGATCCATGAGATTATGCATACCTAGGTATTTGAAGCAGTAGTGGTGGTAATAATAGCATAGCTGCTCTCGCACACCTTTTTCTGAGCTGGGCTGCTCTCCTGAGAGGCAAGGTATGGAATGTGATGGTTGGACAGTTTTTGCACAAAGCTCCCGTCCCTTTTGAATGGTTGAGTACATAGTTTAAATCTCTGTCAAATGAAGGAGGTAACTAACATTCCAGCGATACCAAGAAAATAAATTAGAAAAAAAACAACAACCTACATTGATTTTCATGTCTTTTGTACAGTTGAAATGATGTTGTTCTGCTGAAAATAGAGTGTTTGTAGTCAATTGTTTACAAAAGTAACCATGAAACAAGTATTGTTCCAAATCACCGTTATTCTGGATTCCTTACTAACATCACTCTATTTTCAGTCATACTTTATTATTGTAAGCCTTCAAAATACTAGTTGACCATCCATTAAATAGTGCTTTAGCAGAAAGCAGTATCAGTGATTTGAGTTGTATCTAAACATCTTTATTCTCTTTGTTTCAGGCAAAATTGGCAATGTTTCCTGAAGGAACGCGGCACATTGGTGATGAATTGTTACCATTCAAGAAGGGCGCTTTCCATGTTGCAATTGCATCCCAGACGCCAATCCAACCTATTGTTGTTTCCCGCTACTACTTCTTGGATTCCAAGACCTATAAATTTGATGCAGGTAAACCAAAAGTTGATCACCTTCCTTGAAAAACTTTTGAACTTACTCTAATCACTGATAAGCATGATTTCTCTGGAGTGAGCGTCAAGGGAATTGCCCAAACTCTCAAAGAAATCTGCATACCTCAAAACAAGTTTTTAAAATTAGCTGTGGATCTGTTACTGCTCAGTTATATGAAATGGACCTCCAGAATACGGGATAAAAAATTAAGTGGAAATCTAACCAAAATTTTACAAATCATTTCCAAATTCGACGAACAAGCGAGAAAGAAGCGTTTTCTACATTCTACAGCCCTGCTTACTAAAAAACCCAAGTCTACTAAAACTAAATCGGGCATTAATCTATTTTTGTTCTCTTTGCAAAGAAGAATGGTTCACTTGGTGGTTCAGTTTTCCTTGACAAAAGAATTTAAATTTGCTGAAACAAAGTATATTTATTTCCTAAATGTAGAGGTTTGTGTTTATTGCTCAGTCTGATCTATGTTGATGTTTGTTTTTCTTTGGAAGTCAGGAGTTCTGATTTGCTGACTCTGATTTTAATTTTCAATGCTCTCTTATTATTTGATTTTAGACCTCCTCGATCTACTCAATGAACTTTACCATCTCTTCATGTTGTTGATTCTCAAGAAGATTCCTGAAATTCGTCTTTTCATTTTGATTGCAATTGAATATTTAGTTCGCACTCGCTGCTTGTTTGAAAGTTGACAATTAAATCTCATGGTCACTTTTATCTGATTCCAGGAAAAAGCGTGATAGAAATTCTGCCTGCGATTCCAACAGCCGGCCTAACCAAAAACGATATCGGCGAACTAATAGAGAAGACACGCACAGTAATGAACAACGCATACAAGAAACTAACGCAGCAAGTTACCTCAAATTGTGATAGTAGTATTAATAACATTGACACTAGTGATAGCACCAAATCGTAACCTTACGAATTTCTTTTTGTAACTGTTTTTGTTTTGATGTTTTCTTTTTTACAATTTTTATTCAAATCATGCACCAAAAGAGACTTGTTTTTAAGTTTTCGAGTGTAAAAAAGTTCCTTTGTATAGAGTTAATACAATGGGCTGTTGCACATTTATAATGTTAATTTATTTTCTTTCTTTTTTTTTGCATTTACTGGAAAAAGTATCAAAGTAATATTTGGAGCCATTTACCATATTAATAAATGGTAATAAAAAGGATTTCTTGATATATTTTGACCACCAAGGAATACTTAAGATGTCGATGATAAACGAACAAAGCTGTTTTACGGCAGAACTCACCATAAAGAAGCATCAAGTAGTATGTAGAAAGCTGATTTAGTTCTCAAATACTATGTGTCTTTTATTTTATACCCTTACTTGCATTGCAAGCATAGATTTTGCAGTCTTTCAAAATTTTTTCTAAGAATTACCATTAGTTTTAAAATTTTGGTTACCTTAAATTACAATCACTACTTTTTTCATTTTAAGAGGAGCAGTCCCCAAATTTTTCCGAATAATTCAAATATTTCTTACGCATTTATTAAAAAAAAAAAAAAAAAAAACACCAAACTTTAAAGGACGAAGCTCCAAGAATACACAATATTTCCTCTGGAAAAGAGTAAAATGGACGTTGACTTTTTGAGATCAGTTACTTAAGTTGAATCACTAATGATGGTATGGGTTACGATGCAATGAGCACCCATCCTTAGGGTTTTTTTACAAAAAACTGTACGCCATTATTTTGATTAGAAACAATGATTCTTGGTTTCTTACTATGTTTGAAAATTTAAAAAAAAAAGATACAGGAAAATTTGTACAAAATTTTCTGTTCCTCAATTTAAGCCAAAAATGTAGCTTTGTAATAGCATTGTGACTTTTTTTGCACAAAAAACAAGTTTTTTCAAATTTTATAAATTTTTTTGATACCGCTGGTGATCATAGATGCATTGAGAATGTTTTTTTTTATAAGTGATGGGAATAATTTAAAATTATTTTCATTTTTCCTTGATGTTTTGTCTGTTATACTTGTTGATAGGGTGCTTGCAGTCTTATGTGCCTTTAAATCTCTAAGTTTCTAAAGGACATAGTTTTTTTTCTAAATCACCTCTCTGTGTAAAAATCTCAATGCACAATAAATTCAGATTTAAATCAATGCATCAACGTTTCTTTCTTGTTATAGTGCAACCTGCTTTCAGCATTCATTTATTTAATACTCCGGTAGTTGGATGGAGTTATGCTGACACATCTGTCAGCAGGCTAATTACTGAAATTGATAAACAAAACGATAGACAAAGAAGACAAAGGGAAAATGGAGTGACACTATTGGTTGAAACAGGTGGTTGTTACAGAGTAAGGGAACAAGGGACCAACTTTAGGATCTCACGTGCGTCGTTGCTGTCAGTTAGTCTATTACTTACCTCCTTTGTCCATTGCAACCATCCGCTTCCACCAATAGGATAGTTCCATTTTCTTCTCGTCTTCTTTGTCTATCGATTTCAGTAATCAACCCCCTGGCCTTTTGTCGAAAAAAAATAATCATATATTGAGAAGATGAATTTGTCTAAAATTTAGTCATAAGGAGGCTGGGACTAATAAAGTCCTGTGGCAAATTGAAGACAAGCTTTAAGTGCCAAACACAGAAGTTGAGCGCCGAGAAGGACTAGAGTAGATAGGACTGTTACATTCCTTTAAATTTTTGCAAATAGGTCTGTACTCCTGAACCTAGTTAGCAGGAACTCAAACAAGTTGAGCAAACAAAACACATCGTCAGATCAGGAGGGTTAAAAACGCCTAATTGACTGTGGGGTTTATTGGAATCTTGGGTGGTTGTTGCACGCTCCCCCTGCTTCTCCTGCTGATGCTGTCAATATTGTCGACTGCCTGCCTCTAGTTTTTTATACATTCCTATTTTACACAAGTTAGCAGTCCTACACCACTGTATACGAGTCTTGTTTCAAAACACTCAATAGAATTGTGTTCCCACTGCGTAACTCCATCCAATCGATCTCTGATTCTTAAAAGATGAGACAGAAATTAAAGAAAAAAAAGAATGGTCGAAACAGCTATTTATTTCAACCCTTCCGTTTTCTTAAGATAACTTAATTTACATGCAGTCAAGTGGTTTGAGGCCCAGTAATTTCATTCCTTGTTTTAAGACTAGTTCGGCAGTGTGGAACAGAAGCAGACGTTGGCAGGCAATATCTGGCGGCTCATCTTTCACCCGCAAAACTTTCAGACATCTATTGGTGCAATTACTGGGGGAAAAAAATTAGCATTAGATTCACAGTTTAAGGTTTCAATTTATGGCTGTCTCAGAAGTTAGTTGAATTCTAATTGAAATGCTTTCATAATAAAATGCTGTCCATAACAAAGATTAATTTATCCTTAAAGGTATTTAAAAAAAACTTGATTTTGATATTTTTTCAAGGCCTCAAAAAATCTTAACAAGGCTTATACAGTCAGCAAATTTGAGTCAACCCACATTTTCGTACTCTGTAGAGGAGCCTCAAAAAATCTTAACAAGGCTTATACAGTCAGCAAATTTGAGTCAACCCACATTTTCGTATTCTGTAGAGGAGCCTCAAAAAATCTTAACAAGGCTTATACAGTCAGCAAATTTGAGTTAACCCACATTTTCGAATTCTGTTTTCGTATTATTCGTATTTAAGGAGTGCTCATTATCTTTGAAAAAGGACAATACAAGCTAAATCTGGGATATTGACATTATAGAAAATAACACTTTAGAGGGACAGGGTTATATATAGCGGTCTTTTTCTGGCGCTTTCACTTGATGATGAGAAAAATCCACGAAAAGAATCTCTAGTGGATTTTGGTGCCGGAAGCAAAGTGGGCTTAGAGTGGCAGAGAGGAACTTATTAATTTCTTATTTCCCTGGCATGCAAGGCTACAACTTTAGTAAGCACCACAATTTTAGTGCATGTAAAATGAAATCAGAGAACATTTTACATACTATCTCTTTGGTTATCTCCAGAGAATGAAAATATGCAAAAACCGAGGAGCCTAGAGAAGTATACGACCATTTGCACTCTATATAGACAATCAAATAGCAAGACAAAAGAAGCGTATGATCATTTTTCAACATGAGCTTGAAACGTGCTGGATTCTTCAATCCTGCGGCACAGTAAATACCGTTAAAAAAAACTTCCACGAACATGAAGATCAATACACTCACAAAGGAGGAAAAAGGGTAAATGAAGCGTAATGAGAAGTGGTATTTTGGAACAGTTGACTATTTTAGTTGACTCACCTAAGTTGAAATAGATAATGCACAAGAACGTTCGCTTCTAGACTATAATATGCCCTGATGATAGCATCATCAAACCTGAAAATTCCACAGAAAAAGGAAAAGATAAAGGGAACATTTAAAAAATTACTTAATTCATGAGTCCATCGAAAAAACATCAGTTTTGAGATTTGAAGAAAAAGAGGTCAGATGATGGGCCACTAGACAAGGTTTGAACTAGAAAAAATCTCACAAAGAAAACAACTCACAAGACGGGAGGTTCGGAAATCAACTCCGGAAGGGGATATTGGCAATTATTTTTGACATGGATGAAGAGGACTTAGATGATAGAAATTATGTTATTTGTATTTTTATGATTTAAGCAATATTAATTGTTAATATTTGTGCCATTTTTGGGAGTTGATTTCCAGATTCTCCATTGTGAGATTAGTTTTTCTTGAGTAATTTTAAAAAACTTGCTGTGTAGTGCTTTGATCCATATGTTGATGCCGACTAAACAAGGCCTCACAGCCTGAGGATATTTGAAAGTGGTGTTGCGAGACTGAGTGAGGTGTAACTTCAATGCAACATAATAAGAAATTTTACCACACAGGGGAACCACTGCTGTGATTTGATTCAACAATGGATCACTACATAAGGTACGAATTTAAGCATTCTAATACATGTTTCTTAACCAGAATTTCATGTAGAATACGATTTGCACGACGAAAACTAATGAAACAAACTCCAAATGAAGATATTAACATATTTATTTCACATTGGTTATGAGGAATTTGAACTGCCCGCTGACAAGAAACTCAAAGCTCTACATGAGTAAAATCGCGCACTACAACGGTTTCAACAAGCTTCTCAATCGAGTAATGTTCATTTTCCACCATGTGTTGTTCAAACTGTAAGCAATTTGCTACAGCTGAGCCAAAGCATAAAGATTGAGGTTGCCAGATTTTTATATCGCAGAGACTGTCATGATAACGATTAGCGCAGGATGTAAATCATGTAGGGCATTGAGTTTTCATAAGCGGGTGGTTTGAAATCATACAATAAGAATCATTAAATATCTGTGAAAGGAGTTGATTTCGGTGATTTTCGTTGTGCGCGTCATATGCTACGTGGAATTTTAGTTAAGAAACATGTATCAGAATGCTCAAATTCTTACCTTGTCTAGTGGTCCATTAGGTACACTATCAGATTCTTCAAAACTTATCATGAGTCCTGGGCATTAATGTGAAAATTATGGAATATTCTGTTAGAAATTAAGAAAATACTGGAGCTAGTGTTAATTTTTTTCAATTCCCCCTTAAGCAACTAAAAGTAATGCTATCAGAAGCTGTCAACGCGTACAATATAGAAAAATAGGTGTGAGTGAAATAGCCTTGTTCCAACCAATCATGAATAATTTCTCACAGCAACTATGGCACACCCATTGAGCATTAAAGGTATATCCTGCATCTTCATTGAGTCCTAAAAGCGTAATATTGATTTATAGTCTTCAATATAGAACTTTAAATGCTCATTTGTCTTCTATAAAATCTGGAGGTATGCCGCTAATGCTTTGGAGTGTCAGCTCTTAATTTACCTGCCATACTATGAAAATGATCACTGATTCCAGAATCTAATTTTAGAAGCGCAACCTGCAAAGCATGGTGATTTCTTATCCAAAACGAGTATTGAGCTCTCATATTACATTTTTCATCTGTGTTACTTTCAAACAAGCTCTACTTGAAATAGTGAATGCCTCAAGTTTTTTTTAAGAAATATCAATCACTATATTTGAACATTTATCCCTTTTAATGTATTAACATTAATGAGCTCAAAAGAAACTTATCAAGTTACATCAAAGTTGAACAGAGAAAAAGAGATTTTAGGTTTTAGTCCTACAAGAGTCTGGATGCTGGGGACAAAATTGAACAAATATTTTCATGTTCCAGGTATTGATTCTTGACTTGGAATTTTCAACGAAAGAAAATTTACGACTATTCAAAACTACTCCTAACTTAATTTTTCTGAAATTCGACTTGGTGTGCTTCCATTTAACTTGGTCAGTATGTAGAATATCATTCAATTATAATGGGAAAAAAGCCTTCATAACTTTGTTAACGTTTTATTTTTTTAGTTCAAAAAGCAGAGGTGATATGATACTTACGCAGCAATTTGAGCTACAAGTGCCACCGCTTCCGGTTCGGTTAGAACTGAGGGATCACACTGTGAGGGCAGAGAGAGGTCTACTTTTTCTCTGAGACTAACCAAGCGACAATGCGTGTATTGCAGTTTCAATCCACCATCTCCTTCAACCTGAATAAGTGACAAGATAAACAGATGTTAGGGCTCGTGACAATTGAACATTTACATACATTAATTAGGCACGATAAAAGTTATTAGGTCTCAACGGTCTCTTGGCAATGCTTAGAAACTTGGTTTGAAAGTAAGAGAAAGAGGTAAAAGCCAAACTCGCTCAAAAAGATGAAATATGCAGGGTAAAATTGAACGTTTGAAAAATACAACTCTAAAAATGAACATAAAAGATATGAATCACTCATGAAAGTACAAGAGACATTTTAATGTTAAAAAAATGTGTAATTTGTACATTTTGGCATATTTAAAATAATTTCTCCTCGATTAAATTTATTAGTATTTTAATATTTTTGAGGCTAGTCGATTATTAATAGGTGAAAGTGATATAAACTAATTATTGATTTAGCAAACAACCAATCATTCCTCACCACCTGAAAACACAAAATGTTGGTCATTTCTTGGGGAATCCACTGAAACAGTTACCTTTGGTGTGAACACGAAAAATGTTCCAGGCGGTATTGCCTGTCTTCAGACGCAAGACCATTTAGTAGATTTTCTGGAGTATGGCAAACTCTGATAAGTGCCCAAATCAGGCAACAAAGCATCAAAGCTTGATGTCATGCGAGTTATTTTTGCTTGCAAAGTCTTACGCTGTTCATTCTTTTTGCTGTCAAAAATATCAGGAGATAAAAAGTGCAAATAGGCTAAAATAAGAATATGGCTGACCACAAGAGAAGGCAAACCTGGGAGCTCAATTGATGTCAAGTAAGATAAAAAAATTGGATTTTGAGTTCACCAGGGAGAAAAATGGTATCTGGTTACCCAAAAACAAGACAATCATTTCGACTTATTTTTGGACTGGTGGAGGGTGTAAAATTTAACTCTAATTGGAAAATTTTTCATCCTAGCATAGCGGATCAAAATTAGAAATAATTTTTACTCAAAAGCATTTCTTGAATTACAAGCTTCAAAATATTATAGCTCCTCTCCATGTTCAACATTTTTGGGTGCACTATGTGACAGAATCTTCGAAAAATACCTACTCCTCTCAGCAAAGATAAACATGTCAATTTAGTTTTATGAATTGAAAAAACAAAAATTATAAAATTACTTTTAAGACTTCACTCCATTTGAAATCGAAGTCAGCATTACGTTTATGCTTCAGGTCATGTACAATAAGTGCTGAAATCCCCAGATCATCAGAATTTGAAAAAGATAAATCTTTGGTTGCTGGAAACACAAAAATACGAAAATTAGTGAGATACTATCATCGTACTTCTTCTCTTACACAAGAGACAAGCAGAAAATGATAATAATGATGCTAGAATAAAAGAATGGGTTCGCGGAAGGTAAAATTAGAAACTCTTATGAAAAGCTCCAAAAATTGTATACTAACTTCCAAATCTCCCTTCCTCGGTTTTTAACTGAAATATTAAACACGTTAAAAATGGAATAAGAATATTGCAGGGCTGGAAAAGAATCTTTTGGCATTTTCACAAGCAATATCTGGTAGAAATATTGCACTGAAAATTTTTTGTGCACTGATGTTTATGTGGAAAATTGTTGAACCCATAATTTTGCGCTAAGTCCTTCAACATACATATCGACGGTGTAAGTCGGCAATCACATATCTCGTTTGCGGTGTCTGAAAATCTCCGCCTCTATCTTATATTTTTAAAAGAGAACAAATTAACATCATTCCTTGAAGTTTTTGCAGAAATTTCTTCGCACAGAGAAGAAAAATCATGGCAGTTTTAAATAATTGCTGTTGAGTAGTTTTCCGTTTAAAAAATAAAGTATGAAGGAAGTCTGCGACGTCGCAAGCCAAGTTATGTGATTGCCGACTTACACCGTCGATATAGCCTCTCTGTGAAGGAAAATTTTAAGCACGTTCTTTGACTCTCACTCAGCCTGCCCACAAAAATTCCATGTAATATGAGAACTATTTGCATGATGGGAAAGCAAGGATCTAACCCGAATATAAAGAAAAATCTAATTGAATCAATTGGACATGTATACTGACTGGAAGTTTGTTTCTGTCTTTGGATCATAAGTTCCTTTGCCTGATCCAAAATATCTGTCAAGAAGACAACTTCTCCTTTACGGGTGCTCATTTTCCTGACACGACCGAACTGCACATGCACCAGATTTTTGGCCCAAGGGTAGTCAAGCTTTTCCAGAATTTTGAACAATGAACCAAAATGTTCTGCCTGATTTCTATCCACTACGTACAACATGGCAGAGAAATTGTACTTCTCATAGCGATCTATTGCTGCAGCTATGTCACGTGTGAGGTACAATGTGGAATCATCACTTTTGAGTATTGGAGCCTCTTTCCCATTGTCCAATACCACTACCTATAGACAGAAATTACCAACATACAATAGTTTTTCAACACAAGAAGAGGAAATCAATTACTTGCTTGTGATTACAGAGCAAGATGGGCAGGAGACGAGGGGGGCTTAAACAGTCAAATTCCCATGGGAATTCCCTCTTTTTCTTGACAGTTACAATAAAAAAGAGGAAAATTTAGCTGATATTACTACTTTCTGTTTCCAGATGTTCGGCGAAGTTACTCACACAGATAGAACCCTCTACTTTTTGCTACTGATGGTACAGGAATGGCCAATTTTGCAGATCAGATTTTATGACATTGCGGGAAGATTATTAATAATTTTTTTAGGAATTGATCATACAAATTCCTAAATTCATTTGCATGACAAAAAGACCGTTATTCAATGACCCAATTTTTAGGAGATAACAAAAAATAGTTTTTTCATCACTGCTCTTGGATGCTGCGAATAATGGGACATGAATAATTTTGAGCTATTTCCCACAAGTCATTTCTTTATAAATACAGTGCACAAACGAGTCATGTGTAACAGCTACTGACAAGTTGATAGTGAAACTCCCAAATCACAAATCTCCTATGCTGTGTTTAAAAATCTCCGCTCTTAATTTATTTTTTTACAGGAGAACAAACCAACATCATTCCTTGAAGTTCTTCTAGAATTTGCTTTGGAAGGAAGAAAAATTATGGACGTTTTAAGAATTGACGATAGGTGGTTCTACAGTTAAAAAGTAAAGTTTGACAGAAAGTCTGCAATGTCACAAACGGAGATGTCATCTGGTAGTTTCACTGTCGATGTGCTGCAGCATCAAGAAATCATAAATACAGAAAAGGATTACCTTTGTTTTCTAATTCATCGAAGAATTCAAAGCTCAAGAAGGTCTCTGAGCCCCATTATTGTGAAAAATAAAATTAGTACTATTTGTTTGTGAACGTATTAAGGAAAAATAATAAATTACCATAATTGCTAATAATTACATATAAATTATCCAGAGAAGACAGTGTAAAAATTTTACAAATAACTTATTGATGATCGTATTTATCATGGTTCAATGAGAAACGAAATATAATTCAAAATGAAGTAATGGCTGATCATTTTCATTAAATTTTCACAAGTGGCAGTTTTTCTTAGGCTCTCAATTAGCTGTGACTATGATTTAAAGTTTTTGAGCGAGTAACTTCAATAAAATATCTCTGACAATAATGGTAAACGGTATGAGGGATGAGAATTTGAGTGCTGGCAGTTTTTGAAAAAAATAAGTATTAGTGAAGATTTTCTGAAGAGCTTTTGGACTGATAGCACTACAATTGCTCAGCAAATAATTTTTTAGCACACCATGATGCGAAACTGATTAGGGTTTTCATGAAAAATAGGTACTACCTGCACGGTGTTTTAAGAAATCTCTTGATTGGTAATACTGCTCCTTGACAAAATTTTACCTAGTGAGATCAATATATTTATTTTTATGGCTGCCCACTTTTTTTACTGTTTTTGCATTGTGCTCTTTGGTGACCATTAATATGAAAAAATTTTCCCAGGGGGTGATTGAAAAGAAGTAAAAATATTGACCTGAAGACCATTGTCTCTTTCGCTGGCCAAGGGAATGAGACGACTGAGTACATGCTGTATCTTGAAAGCCGCGTAGTCTGATTCCCACGAGTATTGGTCAAAGTTCACATTCAACCGCTTGTACGTCTTGGCAAGATCATCTATCGTGTACTGTTTAAACATTGCCCACGAGGCCATGATTTCCGGATTGCTGCCTCGTTCCAAGCTGGTGAATTCCTCTTTTGCTTTTTGGTACAATGCTAAACTATTATCTGCCAGAGCATTGCCTTTAAAAGAAATTTACACACTCAAAATAGTTTGAAAATCATTGGCACAAAGATTGGAAATAACTATCACACTCACTAGATGCTGTAGCAAAAAAGAGCTAAGTTTCATTAAAAAACTCATACGTCATGGAATCTACCATGTATTCTACTGAAAAGTGCATTTTTCAGCAATATGACAGGTGTTATCGTGCGGAGAAGTGGCACCATTGCTGAGTCTGCTGAGAGAGAACTGTTTGTTCTGGACTGAGTTGACACACCGTCTTAATTCCCCGGCCGACACAAGATGAGACAAGGGGAGCTCACTCCTTGATTCTGTATTTTTCCGTATGATAATGCAAGTATAACTGCATTTAATTTTCTGGCTCAATGTTCTCGAGATTGGCACACAAGAAGTTCAATTTTAAAAGCTCATCTTACTCAGGGAATCGTGAGGAACATTATGATAAAAGATAACGAAATGATAATTATTATTATTAGAAGTTTTTTTACTGTGAAGTCAAACAAAAATTTCAGGAGGATATGCAATCTCACCTTTGACATATGCATCGTACAACTTCTGAACTGGATTCTCTTTCAGCTGCTCCTCCGAGATTTCTAAAAATTTTAACCCGATTCTCAAGAGGCCAAACTGGGTACCCCAGTCTCCAAGATAGTTCAGCCGCGTCACATCGTTTCCCAAGAAAGTGCAAAGATTTGCTATGAAATTGCCGATTATGGTTGAACGAAAATGCCCAATGTGGAAAGGTTTTGCAATATTCGGCGAGCTGAAAAAGTGAATAAGCACATTTGATGTGATTGATTGGATCAATAACCTTTAGTTTTAACAGCCTCATGACACTTTTAGCCCTTCACATTCTACTCTCCACTTGTATCCATTGTCTTCGATGGAAATATCCAATTTTTTGACCAGACGTGATGAAACTCGCTATCCTGAGAATTTTGCCTCTATAGGCTAAAATCTTTTTTCCTGTCAGGGTCACCAATTGGCAAGCAGGGTAAGAACTTTTATGAGTTTAAAAACTTATGAATGGGTCAAAACTACACAAAATAATCTACATATCTAGGTCCAACAATTCTCAGAGAAAAATGAAATTTTGATTCGTCCAGTTTGTCCTCAAGCTAAATAAATGCAAAAAATTAGAGACCTTTTGACGTTCACTCGGAGTTAAATAAGTAGGAGCCAACAAACCTGAAATCAATGACAATGCGCTCTTTAGGAATTGTCGGGAAACTGAGAGTTTGAATCTCCTGTAAGCAGCTAGAAATAAACTGTGACTTCTCGACCAAAAATGAAACATTGCTTCCTTTCGGCTCTCTGAAAATATCTTGAATAATACTGTCTTTTTTGATATTTCTAAGCTCATAAGGTTTCACAAATTTGCATGATAAGGGAGACACCTGTAAAGTAACTTTGATATCTGATTCATTGCATGGAAAAACTCGGAGATTTTCGTAGATGTGTTTATGACTGACATCTTTGCAACCTGCCTCCTTTATATAATCCAATACCTGCAAAGATCACAAAAATAATTATTAACACACAACATTTTCGAACAAAAATTTAAGGACTATTTATTTTAATTACACAAAGAGCTCTTTGCAAGTATGCTTACCTCCATGTTCAAGGCTTTTTTAGGAGACAACGTTTGATACTCAAACATTATCTGTTTATTAACACCTTAGGGTATGCAGAACTTAAATTACAAAATTTGATGCTTCCAGATAGAACTGGCAAACAGAAATCAAGCAGTTGGCTTTAAGTAAAAGGACCCCACACACTCCTCATGGGAAAGTATGCCCTGTTCGATTTTCAATTTTTATATTGCATCAAACATGTCCATGGATGCTGTCCAGAAGTAACCATTACACCGACTTTCTACGAAGCACCGTTTTCGCACAATCTGCAGTTGAAGTTTCAATGGTTTGGCGATAAAGAGTCAACAAGATCCCTTTTTCTTTCAGCACACAAGGACAGGCCCCCTGAATACAAGGAAAAACTTATCGCATATCTGCCCTCTTATCTGTTCCTGCCTACTCTATCCATCTCCCTCTTGCTCTCGTATTTTTGCTGAAGCAAAAGGGCGTGCGAAATCTGAGATATGACTGACGCTCAGCATGAACGCATTTGAGTTTTCCTTGTTCTCAGCAGGCCTGTTCTCAAATTCTGAAGGAGAGAGGGATCGTTTAAACTCTTCATTGCCGAATTATGGAAACTTCAACCGCATATTGTACGAAAACGGTGCTTCGTAGAAATTTGGTGCAATGATAACATTTGGTCAGCATCTATAGACAGATTTGATAAAATAAAACAATTAAAAATCTAACAGGGCATACTTCCGCATGAGGAGAGTGCAGGTCTTTCCCCAATTACATTAGTTTCCCTAGTCCAATGCTGCAGTTTTGTACTTAATCTTGTCTGTTTGATACTTAGTATTCTGTTAAACAAAGTCTAAGACACACTACTACACTACATTGAGGGTGTTGTCTATTTGTAATTTGTGAAGAATGCAGACATGTTTTTTTTTTTTTTTTTTTTTCTTCCAAATTTGCGTTGACTTTAAATACTTTTACTAATGTTTTAAGGACTATAGAAGATTAGTTTTCCACAAAAACTCCTTTGAAATTTCGAGGCTAGATTATAAAGGACGCGAAACACATTCTTACCTTCATTACGATGTGATTTTTTATCCTCATTCCCATTTTTTAGTTCTGCGTCAATGAAACCGACAAATATCATCCCTGCCGATCACTTTTCAACTTTTGGACGCGCTTGATTTCTTGATAAAATAACAAAACAAACAAACATACGACCTTAAGTAATGACTGAAGATGTGATTTAGGTACGCATAAGTTTAGCTGATAAAATTATTGGTATACACATCATAGTTTCTACAAAATAATTAATTTATCGTAACTTAACTAACTCTAAAATGAAGACCTAGCCTCAAACTTATCACGACTTGCCTCGCCAAAACAAAACAAAGCAGCTGATTGGCTATAATATTCTGTGATAACAGAGCTTACGGCGCGAAATTTGAAATTACAGGCTCTTGGCAGACTTTCAGGACACCGGCGATCCAGTAATTATCTAACCCAAACATTACGCTTGAAACTAGCAGAACTCAGTATTTACCATATTGTCATTCCACCCCAAAAAAGAATAAAACTTAATGTAATAAATAAAAACTTTTCTGTCTAATACACTGATACTCCAAATCAAAGCAGGTTGCCTACCCTCTGAGTATGTTGGGCAGGGCAGTTGATTATATGGAGGGTCCTTGCGCTGCAAGATAATCTGTGCAAGAGGTTATCCTAAAACGGTCGCATTTCAGCCGTAATTTATTTCATTATCTAAGATTTTCGGTTTCAGGCACGATTTCCAAGCGAGAAGGGTAAGAGACATTAAGCAAGCATCAGTAAAAGTTGAACTGAATTCTTTTTGGTGTCGTAGCTCATTTTAATTTTGAACTTTTACAGCATTGCCCCGTGCCAAACCGTGAAAGTTCACGTAGGATCTGTTGCTTCATCTCTTTATGGTAAGTTTCCCTCCAAATTACGCACACTTAACTTACCCTGCGAAGTTTTCAAGAACTCAGTTCACTGCATCATCTATGTATTTTCTGCGTGGACTCGCGGCATTCATATCCTACCCCCAATTGTGATGTATTCTTTACTGTCAAATGGCTGTGAAAACACATGCGCATGGCCCCGGAATAAGTGTGCGACTTTATAGACTAGTCAAACTTATCCCTTGATTGAGACTCCTACTAGAATTGTTCGGCACCGTAAAGTTACCTAAAATCATGCGCAATCTAGAATTTCTCTGCCCAAGGCTTTTCCCTTTTTTTCCAATGGATTGCCCATATTTGACAAGACAGTTTTGTGTAATCAACCATATAACTTTTAATGATTACTGTTTGATCCAAGTTTTGGAAACCTTAAAATCCTACTTCCCTTCATTGATTAGTTCAGATTTCTAAGGCTCTGTCCCCACGGGATGGTTCTTGGGATTTGTTCCAGAGAAAAATCTTACGTGCTCAGTTGGATAAATAATGAATTAATCAATATTAAGGTGATTCGACAGACGCCATATTTTGTGTCAGAGCGACATGCCAATGTAGTCATATAGTATATGTTTATCTAAGACTAATTTTATTGTATTTTTCATGGCAGACTGAACCTAAATCAAAACGCACGATGCCTGTACCTAATACAGAAGTTCGGAAAGGTTTGAAGAGACAGAACTCAGGACCAATAACAGGAGTATCCACCAAAAAGTTTCTGCACTCCTGTGAGTTTCAGTTTTGAGTTTTTCTTTCTGAAAGTTTCTCAGTACTCACACCCTGTGGTATATCATTATTTGAAGAAGGAATTGGATTTAGGAATCATTATTGCACTGAAAACAGAAATTCATGGACGAGAAGTTTGGCAAATCAAGGTCCCACTGTATTTTCATGACCAGATTCTCTTCTACTTATAATCCTTATTTTTAGTGAAGAAGAAGAGAGGAACAAACAGAATTCTGACCCTCAAGCAAATGATCAGACTTATTCACTCGGGGACCACATTGTATCCTCATTGGTACTCGGTACTTTTAATTATTTTTTCCCGGTTTCTGACCAACAGTGATAGTTGATAAGCTCCCCTCATTTCTCTCTCAATGAGAAGACAGCAATGATTTACTCATAACTATTCTATCTCTTCTTTCAAGCTCTATCTCAAAAACATGAAGATATTATGGAGGTACCTAAATTTCTTGTGAATTAATGAAAATGGAATCAAGGAGCATTGTATCACCCAGTCGTAGCAACAAATCAAATTCTCTCTTCTTTTCTGCCTAATACAATGTTGACGTCAATCACTCAGAATGTGGAAGAAGCCTTTTGCTATGATCAAATTATCCAAATTGATAACCATACATGCGGCAAAAATACCCTAGCAATCAAGCGTAATAAATTGTTCTCTCGGCGACAGCTTCCTTATGAGTCACTTGACCAATACTTGACAGAACTTAACTACCTGAGTATCAACTGTGGCCTTCAACAGTTGCGCGAAGAGATTGTTCGAGATATTTTTATCTGTGGTCTACTCCCCCAGAACAGATACATCCGAGAGAAACTACTCCAAGAAAATAAGAGGTCCCTCTCGGAGGTGCTGGAACTGGCTAAAAAGTTGAAAAATGAGGGTCTACCTTCACAGCAAGGTTACTCCAATCAAGGGGAAGAAAGATCGTGTGCGAGATGTGATGGGGTTTATGTTTGCCAGCGTGAAAGATCGCCAGTCCCCCGGAGGAAGTCTCTCTTGCAGTTTTGGCGCTTGAACCACCCAGCTTCGAAACAAAAAGAAATTCAAGAGAAAAAGTCATTTGAATGTGTATTTACACGAAGTGGTCGTTTGTGTGGGTTAAAGCTCCTAAGAAAACGGGTCAAGACGAGTCGTAAGTCCTGAATTGATATTCTTGACCAGTTTTCGTATCTTCAAGAGTGTGCATGTCACAGATTCATCCTTTTTCTTTCAAGAATAAGATTTAGTCAGAAATGTAAGTCAGATTGTAATGGTAGTTGTTTTGCCCCAGATCAAGTTTTGGAACAACTTTACTTGATACTCTTTTAAAGCAAAAGCCAGTCCTGACTTTGTTTAAATGACAACTATCGCAGACTCAAAGCTGTAATGCTTTTTTATTTCATTTTACTTTCTTTCTTGTCTGTCCGCAAGCCATGCAATTTTTGCACGACTGTCTATAATTAATCAGAAAGTTAGGACACCAAAAATTCTGAAAATAATTTGTAGTAGTTTCTTGTGCAAGCATGAGTCAAGTTTCTCTCTGTATCTTTTTTAATGAGAACTCCTTAAGACAGATAATTGTTCTCTTCTTTGCAGTGGATTTTGTGAAACCAGTTCCTCGGCATTCCAGAGGTCCTGGATTGGTGTTGGCTTTTGGACAAGGCGAAGTGGGTCAGTTGGGGCTTGGACCAGATATTTTCGAAAAAAACAAACCAGCTGTTGTACCGGATGTAGACAATATCATTGACATCTATGCTGGTGGCATGCACACTGTCTGTCTTACCGCTGATGGAGAAGTAATTGCAATCTTCTGTCCCCCTGTATTTTTTATTACGTACTTTTAAATAAAATGACTCCATGTCCAAGAACTAATTTTAAACAGGCTCTCAATTAAAGGATGTCAAGTATGAAGGAGTTAAGTAACATTTTTGCAATTTGAAAGAACAAAACATCAGAAATGGAAATACTTTGTTGAAGCTTATATCATTTACACTACTTATCATTCAAAATGTATTATCATTCATGTATTCTTTTATTTATTTATAAGAGCTTTAAGTCTTCAATTAATTCCTGAAATGCTCATGTCAGGTGCTGTTGAACGACAGGAACAAAAATATTTCCATGCCAGTGAGTGATTGTGAGCAAAAATACCTTTAACTACATGCTGGAAGCAATAATATTACTTTCATCTATTTTAAACCACTTAACTTAGATTCTGCAAATGGAGCAAGGTCTTTGAGGGCTAGCTTGGTACCAATGTGGCAAAATTATAAAGCAACAATATTACTTTCATCCATTTAAACCACTTAACTTAGATTCTGCAAATGGAGCAAGGTCTTTGAAGGCTAGCTTGGTACCAATATCCCGTTACCCTGCGATAGGAAACTCAAAAGTTCTGTAACCCCCTTTTCACTGTGCAATGTGCCACCAACACGTTTTGTACTTCTAAAATTCCACTGAGTCAATGTATTAAATTTTTGGATAGGTAATCACTTGGGGCTGCAATGACGAAGGCGCTTTGGGGCGAGAAACGACAGAAGAAGGAAGTGAAACGGAACCAGGAAAAGTGGACCTTCCAGAGAAGGCGGTCATCATAACCGCAGGTGACTCTCACTCTGCAGCATTGTTGGAGTCTGGACGTGTGTTTGCTTGGGGTTCATTTAGGGATTCTCACGGAACAATGGGCCTCACGCCAAGCGGAATCCAAAAAGTGCCTGTGGAGTTGGTTCTTCCGACACGTGTCCTCAAGCTAGCCTCTGGAGCAGATCATCTTGCTCTTCTAACAGTTGACGGACAAGTTTACACCTGTGGCTGTGGAGAACAGGGTCAGCTTGGCCGCCTCCCTGAACGTAGCGCTCAAAGAAACAATCGACTTGGCATTGGTAGGTCCTCTTCGTTTCCAAAGAAATATTCCTCATTTTTAACAGCTATAGGTGCAGCAGGGACTACAGTTGAAAGCTCAAAGAATAACCTTGTATGTTAACTTCAGCAGAATAACTCAATAAGGCATTATTGTGCATTGGGTACTAGAAGCCATCGACCGCCAATTGACTAATTGATTATTCTGCCATTATCTGTAAAGACAAGAGATACTGATTGAGCACATTTTTTCCTTAGTGCACTGAGAGTCCCAACCTCCAAAGAAAGGACTTCTTCCTCAAAGTGCTGTGACTTATCCTTTTTATTTACTTACCCCTATTCTAAATCTACAATCACATTTTGATAGTGGAAGTACGGAAATGCGTATCTAGGATTGCAATGTTGCAGACTTCATCATACAATTTTTTAACTGGAAAACTACTTAATGTTATATCTTGGAAACTCTTGTGTTTTTTTAAGAATCTGCATACGTTTTTGAACCTTCATGTTAGTTTGTTTTCTGTTAAAAAAAAAAAAAAAAAAAAAAAAAAAAAAAAAATAAAATAAAATAAAATAAAATAAAATAATAATATAGAGGAGTGTTGATTTGTGCTCTCTCTTAAAGGGAAACAACAAATCTAGATATCTTTTTAAAAATCTATGACCTGAAATCTTCGAAAATGTTAAATTATCTCACATTCATCACTTTTACAAAGAAATTTAAAATTCTTAATGTGAATAAGCAATGAAAACCAAATTTCATAATCCATCCCTTAGGATCAAATGACAAAGATTATTATTATTTTTTTTTTTTTTTTTTTTTTTTTTTTTTTTTTTTTTTTTTTTGAACTTGGCAATGTTCTGTCAGAGTGATTTGATTCTTAGGACATTATTAGTGGTGAATAAAGTCTCATTCTGACCCCAATGATCGGTCGTATTCCAAATATTTTACCACCAAATTAAAGATGTCCTATTCACTTTTTTCACTCTTTTTTTTCCAGTTCAACTGTTAACGCCTGCGATTGTCTCCTTTCATCCAAGATTGAAATTAGAGTTTGATGAGGTATGGACTGGAGCTTATTGCACTTTTGCTAGGGAAAAGAAGAAGAGCAAGGTGTATGCATTTGGACTGAACAATTACAATCAACTTGGTAAGCAAATTTCCGCTCCGATCTTATCAAAATGAATTCATATGATCTTCTGCCTAACACTTTGCTGATGAGTTCAACAAGGCCGTTAAAAAACCTTCCTTTTAACTCCCGTATCAGTTCCAGTAACAAAATTTATCAATTTCCTTTGAAAAGAGCAAAGTTCTCCCTCTCTCTAAAGAAACAACACAGAAGAATCAACAAAAACCTGCGTGTAAAATATGCCTGATTTTGCTGGTAGGAGCAGGAATAACTTATGAAAACATAACAACCAGATTTAAAAACCTCATTCCTAAATTGAAGTAGTTTTTCCTGTCATCATTTTTTTGTACACTTAACTGGTTGTGAATGTAGGTACATATTTTATTATCCTTGTTTGGAAACTAAAGAAAAAGAACCGGCCAAAATGATAAATTGCAAACACATTCAATAGATTCCAAAATCCAAAGAAATCAGGGACCTTGGCCCGCAAGGGTGAAATTCTCAATTGAGTAATTTTTATCAAATTGGGACGAAAATTGGAAGGTGACTATTTAACAGAAAATTTCTCCATGGAGTCCTGAAAATTAAGTTGCAACATTTTTGTGCCATTATAGGGGTTCTTGTCTATCTATGAACTGCATGGAACGCAATGAACCAGGTGACCTGCAATGCAGAGTGGTTCTGGTTCATCGGTGCTCTTGATGGAAGAAATATTTTAAATGGGAAATTTCTTGTCATTACACGAAAACTTAATTAATTATAATTGGTTTGAGGTTAGAATTTTATGTAGCAGGGGGACGATAAAGCTGGAAGAGAAGTTCATGCCTCCCCCCCCCCCTTCTATGCATTCCAGTAAAAGGTTTACACTGTGCTCAGGGATCTGTAAAAACAAAAAAACAGTTAATTGCGGTCTATCACGCTCATTACTCCGGGACTTTGGTTTTTTTTTATTGGGTAAAATGTTGGTAAATTAATTTAAAATTTGAGAAGCAAGATCCCTTTGCCCTCAAACAGTCGCTTATTTTCTCTTTGTTTCCAAGAATGCCCTGAAAGATCTTGAATTACTAATCGATAATTTTAAAATTCTTGAAAAGCACATGTATTTGAATTTTGGAAAAGCTCTAAGCATTACCTATTTTCATTTTATTTTTTAGGTTTGAAAAACACAAAAAATCATTTTCACCCCCTCGTGTCAGAGTCTCTTAGCTGCAAAAAGTGGAATCAAATCAGCGGAGGCCAACACCACACTATAGCTTTAGACAATGATGGTATGTTTATTTATCATTTCATGTGTTTGCATCCTGCATTAGAGGAAATTTCTTGGCTCGGTAAGAAAACTTACAGAAGAAGCAATGAAGTCTCATTGGATTCCTATGTTTGTGGGCCTCACTAGCTGCTTAAATTTGAATAAAGAGCAATAAATGAAGAAAAAAAGATATCTTTCTCCCTTCTAAGCATTTTCTCATGACACTGAGCACACTGATTATTGAAGCATAGTGAGGGTCAAGATATGTCACATATCTTTGACAAGGTGATGCAGTTTGTGTGCCTCTTGGTGATCTTTGATCACCCTAGGGGTGCAGAAAATTCCAGATCATGTTATGAGGATTGCAGAAGACGTTAAGGCGTGTTCAAACAGATTGCTGAGCTGCTCCCTATCGTCACTGTAACTTGGCACAAGAAAATAATTATAATGAATCAGAATAAACAGGAGAGTAAATATTTATTCTTTTGGCCCGTGACTGTCGAGCACTTTTGACTGAGGTCTAGGCAGAGGGTTCATCTAGCGACCTGTCAAGGCGAATCAGCAGCTCAGCAAGCCGTGTGAATGCGCTTTTAGGCAGTTTTCAAAAGAGTTTGTCTGTTTTTGTTCTTTCTTTCTTTTTTTTTTTTTTTTTTTATTGGTCAGAAGTATAAGCTGTACGAAAAGTTGATAATCTGAATGGAAAACTGTATGTTCGGCGAAAATGCCAGATTGCGGCAAACAGTCAATGTTCTGGAACTCACTTCACCATTGAAATACTAAATCTCCAAATCATTTTAAATCTTTTATCAGCTAACTTCGACCAGAATCAACCTAACTACATTATACATTGCTTCATTGCCACTCTGGTTTTTTTTTTTTTTTTTTTTTTTTTTTTAATCACAAAAACCTGAGTAACATTCTGCTTAGAGGTAATTTGTTTTAGTAAATTCTTTATAATATATTTGAAAGTTTAACAAAATTTTAAGTCATTATACCCACAAATTGGACTATATTTTGAAATAAGGAACTACTGTTTAAGACTTATTCATTAAACAACCTGTGCCAATGTGGCAGTTTCTGCACCTAGATCTAATTTTTTTTTTTTTTTTAGTTTGATTACCGGACCAATTATTAAGTATTTTGTAATGTATCATGGCGGTTTGGACTTTCAGGTGTGACATATGCAATCGGAAGAAAAGAGTATGGTCGTCTAGGACTGGGCGACATTGATGAAGATGCTCTAGTTCCCACCGTTATTCCAACATTAAAAGACAAAAATGTAGTCAATATTGCAAGTGGAAGTGCAGTGTCGTTTGCTGTGTCAGATGATGGTAAGCACGCTACTATCTGCAATAAGTGTTTCTGTACCGAAATTCTACACAAAATACGATGGAAGCATTGAAAATTTCTGAATTCAAGTCGTGAAAGAGAAAATTGTGGTTTTTGTATTTGTCAGTTCACATTGCCTGTCTACAAACAACCTAAGTTTACTTGAGTCCAATCAAGTATTCAACTAATTCTAGCTCCACTTTGTGGCAGAAGAATTTTCCTATGTGCTGCAATTTGTTGGACAAAATCAAAAGTGCCTTTTCTCAAAAGAAAAAAGAAATATGTGTGAAACCATGCTCCAGTCATTTGCGTAATGTATAGGTTGTTTTTTAATGGCTGGTTAGACTGCCGGTGATTACATATAGTCTCGTAACGAATCAAAAGTTTGAATTTACTATTTAGAAGAAAACTATACAGTAAAACCTCGCTAAGTCGGTTTCCGGATAAGCCGGTAACCCGCTTTAGTCGGTAGAATCGCCCGGTCCCGTTTATCACCCATATAACACAATGCTAAATAAGTCTCGGTATCTCGGTTTGGTCAGATTCTGAACCCGCTTAACTCGGTGAAATTTTTCCATCTCGACCTGTTTTTCTTCGATCGTCACCCGAGATCAAGCGTAGGTAGTGTTTCCGTGCGCGGTGCGGGTCGGGTCAAGTTACGCCACGAAGGGTGAGCGAATCTCCGAGAGAGCGCAGCGCAGTGCGAGAGACGACATCAGCTCCCCCTCTCCTCCTCCCTCCGATCCCCACTCAGCCCGCTCGTATCGGCACGCGCCCCTCTCCCCCTACCATCTTGCATTGCCGTTCCCCGCTCCCCCGAGGAGTTTTTCGAGGATTTTAGCGAGTATTGTTTACGTTGCATTTTCAGTGCAACGACCCGCCACTCAGCGGGCGGCCGCGGCGCGTCACCGCGCGGCACCCCAACAAACGACTAACCCGATGACTTCATGATGCCCTGACACTTACAACACGCAATTTCAAGTGCATCTCATGAAATTTTACTATTTAGTACCATTTTCTTCGATCAAATGGCTCTCCTAAACACTCCTACAAGTCACTCTACACGCACGTTTGCGTTTGTCCAATTTAGGATTTAGGGCGCGAAATTTGAAAAAGCGCGGCAGGAAAAGTGGCAGTCCGCGTAAGTCGGTAACCCACTTAACTCGGTAAATTTCCTCGGTCCCGATGAAAACCGACTTAGCGAGGTTTTACTGTAAATGTTAATTCTTTGCCTATAGCTTCATATTAGAAGTTTGTAACGCATTCCACATGTTCTACGGGAAATTTTGATGAGGATTAATGCCTTCTGAACGTTTGATTCTTTCCCTGCCTGTGGTTCATTGTGCCCTTCAAATGATGCCAAATTTCTTTTGAAAAATCACGAATGTACTAGGAAAATTCTGGATATTTTTCAGGCAGTATTGTTTGCAATTGAATCTGGAACTTTCAAGGAAAAATATGCATATCTTTCCTTAAAGTATATATCTTGGTGGGGAAAATTTAGCAATATTTGAATGCTCATACGGTATTTTTCCTCAGCTAGGCAGCAGCAGAAAGCCAATTTTACAGTCAGGACCTATGACTAAAGGCTCCAGAGTATTGAAATCGAAGTATTCAAAGAGTTTCGGGGATAAAGGAATTAAGTGACATTTCTTGCAAAATTGATTTATTAGTAATTTTGAGAAAAAGTTTCTTCAGGTTATTCTTAGTGAAATAATTGAAACTTTTTTTTACTTTACTCATAAAATTAAAGTTTACAGTTTAGTTTTGTCTTAAGCTTCTGTATAATTTTTAAACTTTGTCTGTCACAGAAATATGTACCACTCCTCTCTTTAGTCTGAGATACTTGACATCCCTAATATATAGAAAAGGAACTCTTACGGTGATCTTATCATTAATTATGAGGAGTATTTTTAAAAATAATCTCTTTTCTGTTTAACAGGTGAAGTTTGGGGTTGGGGTATGGGAACTAACAATCAGCTTGGTACCGGTGATGACGAGGACCTGCTCATCCCAACGAAGATCAGTGGCAAACAGCTAGAAACGCGATCAGTGCTTCAAGTGTCGGCTGGTGGCCAACATACGGTCCTTTTGGCCAAAAACAAGTGATAAATGCCTGCCCTACCTCCTTTTTTTATTCACCTTTACATTTTAAGATTAACCAATTTTTACTGTATAATTTACCCTGTACCCAGGAAGCCTGCTAATCAAACCTGTAAATTCAGACTTCAAATCATCTGATACCACAATTTTTTGTGATTCCAGCTTCACAATTATTCGATGGCTCAATCAGGGGGCCGTGTATCTTGATTTGTAGCTTTGCAGACTTTCCGTCGTGCTTTACTTTCAATTGGAAATCAGCGTAATTTCATGAAAAATTCTTTTGCAAAAATATATTGCAGAAATGTGGAAACACAATAACTAAGATACAAAGTTTCCGAGTTTGATCATCAACATAATTTGTGTAATGCTTACTAACAGAGTGCAACTGGACTGCTGTATTCAGGTTTCGATATTGAGAGAGGCTATTTCTTAGTCAAGCTGTTTTTAAAGGACATTTTAGTTGGCAATTTGCCCTGCGCATTGTGCAACTAAGCTTAAAGGTATGAATTCAAACAAAGCTGTGGGTATAAGAGGGTGACCTAACAATCGTGAATTTTTATCTTCAAACTCTCAGTTTTTATGCTGCAGGTGTTGAATATCATTTGCCCCCTGGTTACAAGTTTAAGATAAATTTTGCTCTTGTTCAATTGATTGATTTTTAATTGTGAATCAGAAAGGTAATTTTACCTGCACTGAAATCTAACCCTCGGCCATCCTTCTAAATTTTTCTTTTAGTATAAATGGGTCTGTTACATAAACTGAAAGAAGATTGGATAATCATATTTATAGTGTGACATACCCAACTGTATTAGTTTTTTTTTTAACTTGTGTGTTTTTATTTATAAGAAACTGATTTTTTCTCCCCTTTTTTTAAAATAAAAATGTAAAAAACAAATAATAATTTTCCTTTCAATAATTTCCTTCTTTCGCCCGTTGAGAAACAAAAATATCCGTATAAGACTTCCCACTTTATGTTTAATACTGATCCCGGAGAGATCCCTGCGCTTGAGACAAGGTGTAAATTTAAGCATCATGATAGATGTTTTCTCAACAAAATTTCTCCTAGAAAAAGAATTGTACAAAAAATTTTTTTGAAAGAAACTCCTTATCAAGATACATATTAATGTTTTTCAATGCTCAAATTCTAACTTCCTGCTTAAAAAACCTTGGAAAAATTAAAAAAATATTTAGAGGGCCTTGTCCACACGAGCGCAGTTCGCGGAACTTATTCCTTGAAACGAGGCATGCTGTCCACACGGGTTCGTCCGAACTGGAACCGGAACTTCAATAGAACTATACAATTATTGCAAAATAATAGATTATTATGACCGCCAAAGTAACAAAAATAAATGTCAAGATCATATGTAAAGGACGTGAAAAACAAAAACAAGCAAATTCACATCAAAAGAAACATATTTAGAAGCTCAGAGCACGGGGGAAATTCCAGGTTTTGGAGGAATAAGTTTCAGCTCAGCAAAAAACTTGTTCCGGGAACAAGTTCCGCAAACCGCGTTCGTGTGGACAAGGCCTGTTTATTTATAAAAAAATGAAGCCCAAAAAAGTGGAAGGCTTGTATGACTAGTTTTATAATCCTCCTGAGAGGCAGGCTCAGATCCCCTCCCACCCTGGCAGTGCTTGCATATTCTTGAATGGCCCCTTTACCTGATTTTGCCGTCTTTACTAGACAGCCTCCCACAGAAATAACAGAACATATTCACAAAAACCAATCTGCATAGGGCTACATTCTAAAGAATTGACACCCTTGTCTGGGAGCATAGGTATAAAATAATAGAAAGAGCATGACCTTGAAGCAAAATAAACATTTATTTAAGAACTTAGATGATACTGCTTCAATAAAAAACACTACAATGCCGGCTTAAAACCTCATGTTTTATGAAAAAAAAAGAAGAAAAAACAGAGCTTAAAAGTAGATCAGGGTATTTACAGAGGGGCAACAAATTAAAAAATAAGAATCCCAACAACAAAAACAGTTAGAAATAAAGAAAACCACTAGAATTAAACGACTGCTAACTGCTATTTAGAGGCCTCTGCCTGCTTTTTGAGAAACTCTTCATCTTGCATCGAAAGCGCCGTCAGTTTCTTGCCTACCCGTTCGTGGATCTCTAGGTACTTGGCAACGCATCTATCGATGCAGACGGCCTCTCCCTTGCCCAATTCCGCCTCCTTGTATTTTGGCGCAATGCATTTCTTGTGACAGGCAGTCGTCATTCGGTTGTACATGTCCGCCATCATTTCAATTTCAAGGTCTTGGACTAGTTGCAGCTTGGCTAGATCATCTGGGCTGGGCTGCGCCATTTTTCTATGTAAGGGAAATTCTGGTCCTCAATTTACTTCACCGCAAAAGAGCCTGAAAAAACAAGATACATTCATTTTTCCCTTTCTAAAATTGCACCAGGTTGATGCTCCAAACATTATGAATCCGCTTGGTTTTCATAGTACTAAGGTGGATTTGAAATTAAGTTCACTTTTCCTCCCCCTCCCCCTTGCTTCTTTTCCTTTCTTTCTTCCTTGAAAATTATCGAAGAAAGGAAAAATCCAAGACTAGACAGACATTTCATTTATCTACAATTTTAATCTATCTTATACATTGTTTTAGAATTTGGCTTCCTTTTTTTTTTTTTTTTTTTTAACTAGCCCTCAAGGGCTAATCCAATCTGCTCATGAACCAGTTTGAGCCAATCCCTAACCTATATTATATTTAACCTTTCCCTTACCAGTCCCTATAGACCAAACTCCTTCCACCTGTAAGATCTCGGTAGAAGCTCACCCTCCCCCCAGTTATCTCTCTGGAATTTCATTAATTCATTCCATACCCTATTTCTAAAAGCTCGACCCAATTGCAGTTCCTCCCATTTCTCACAACCGAATAAAGTATAATCTCTCATTCCCTTAAAGAATAGCATACTATCCACATCCCTAGCGTCATTATATTTCAACTCTAAATTCCATCCCTTTCTTCTATCTAATATTTCCAATAACTCCCTGTCTCTTAAATCAATCAGTCCTCTCCTCATCTTATATATGAAGATAAAAACCCTGGCTTTTATCAACAATTCTATGCACAGCCAGCCTAAGGTCTCAAGCATATCAATTATCCTATTTTCCTTATCACACCCTAGTATATATCTCATGGCCGAATTCTGTCCCTTTTGTAAATTTCTAATATCCTTACTACTTGCCTCTCCAAGAAGAGAAATGCAGTAATTTAATTTCGCTCCAATTAATGAATTAAAGACTAACTTCCTACTCTCCTTCCCTATAAAATCCTTAACCCTCCATAGCATGCTAATCTTAGCTCTATACTCCTTAGCCACCTTCCCTGTATGTTCTTTCATTTTCAGGTCTTCTGATATCCATACCCCTAAATATTTCATCACCCTAACTCTTTCTAATTCAAAGTTCTCTATCATTATCCTACCCGCCCATGTACCAGGCCCTACTTCAAATACCATATATTTAGTTTTCTGTACATTCAGAATCAACCAGTTTTTATTTAACCACATCCCTAGTCTTCTTAGATCTCTACTAATTACCTCAGCCACTTTCCCTATATCTCCTTCACTACTAAAGACTAACGTATCATCCGCAAAAAGGCTCAATTCACTCTCCTTCATCACCTCCTTCAGATCATTTATATAAATTAAGAATAATAGAGGCCCTAATCTACTCCCTTGGGGTACACCCAGTTCTACACACAATTCATCTGATAGCTTTTCACCCCACACCACTTTCTGTCTCCTATCCTGTAGATAGTTTATAAACCATTTTAAAACACCATCCACTATCCCTATTTTTTTTAACTTCATTATCAGCATTGACCTATTTACAGTTTCAAAAGCCCTTTTTAAATCTAGGAAAACTGCAACAGTAGTTTTTCCCTTCTTTTTCCTCTCCCTCCATTTCTTCATCAATCCCTGTATCAACTCCTCTGGACCCATCCTCTTCCTAAACCCTCTCTGTTCGTCAACAATCGTTCCCTTTTCTATTAAATATTCATTTAATCTCTTCACAACAATCCCTTCTATCACTTTCTCAACAAAAGGCAAAGAATTTATTGGTCTTAAATCCTCAGCTTTTTCTGAATTTGCAATTTTTCTAATTGGAGTAACCCTCCCTATTTTTAATTTCTTTGGCATAATTCCCTCAGTAAGTGACTTATTCACAATTTCTAATAATATCTTACTAAAATTTTCTATCATCTCCTTCCCTACAACACTGCATAGTGGATATTCACTATTACTATTTTTCAATACACTTACCAGTCCCTGTATTTCTTCTAAGTCAGCCAGGCGCCATTCTTTCCAATACGCCTTATCAGTTTGTGGATATTCATATTCATCCCCATTCATACACCCATCCTCATCGTTACATTCCCTAGATTCTTCATCATTACAGTCCCTAAGACTTTTGACACTATCAACAAAAAATTTATTTAAATCATTTGCGGCACCAATCCCTTTTGACTTTACTCCATCAATCACCACTGTACTATCATCCCCTATTTCCTTCCCTCTCCCTAATAACTCATTTAATATCCTCCATGTTTTCCTGCCATCCCTACCGTTCTTTCTTAAGTTTTCCTCATAATAATTTCTCTTTTTCTTTCGATAAATCTTAACAAACAAGTTTCTAAGTACCTTGTATCTTTTCCATCTCTCATCAGATTCTTCTTCTATCCAATTTCGATACGCATTATCCCTGTCTACTCTCAACTTTTTTAGTTCCTCATCCCACCATCTGACCCTTCTGATCTTTATCAATTTCTCCTTAGTAGTTACACATTGTCTTGCCCCTATCTCTGATTCTTCGTACAACTTTTCTACCTGTACCTCCTTACTCTCAGAATTTAGTTTGACTAACAAATCTGAAAATTTATTTTTATCGAAAACCCTTTTTTTCAAAATCTTATTTACCCTACTTTTTACCCCTCCAATCCCCTTCACTACTGCTTTTACCCAGCTGTGATCACTAATTTTTCTCTCGTGCACTACCTTGCACACGCATTCTTTCCCTAGCCTCCCCCACTGAAATAATAAATCAATTTTTGAAGATGAATTTTTTACTACTCTTGTTGGTTCTTTTACCAGCTGTTCCATCCCTAAATAATCAGTAATTTCTTTTAACTTCTTTCTTCCCCAGTCCCTATCTAAATCCCATCTTACATTAAAATCCCCTAAAACCAGACCTTCCCTAACTGACTCGATTTCTTTAGAATACCTTACTTCAAACCAATCCAAAAATCCCCTCAAGCTTGTATTTGGCGATCTGTAAAGCATGTCTATCTTAATTTTTTCTACTTTCCCTTTTTTTATACCCACACTAACAACCCAAAATAGTTTATTTGATATTACCTCAGTCCCTAAACAATCTAATCCCTTTTTCACATACATTACCACCCCCCCTGTATGCGTACTGTACGAATTAGCCCTAATCAAATTATATCCCTCAATTTTAAGTTCCCCATCTGTTACATTATCCGTAATATGCGTCTCCCCCATTCCTAAAATATCAAATTTACCCTCATTTGCCCAATCCCTAATTTCATCAATTCTTCTAATCAACCCGTTTACATTCCCATACCAAATTTTTAATCCTACATCCCTATTAACTTTTACCCACTCACTATTTCTATTAAATACATCGCCTGAACTCTTTGAACTTTTAATTTCATTAACAATCCCTACCTTCTGAATTCCCTTAATTTTCCTTTCCCTATTTAAGCCAGTTCTAACGTTGAGCTGTTGTCTATCACCTAAAAACCCTTGAGCAGCCTCAACCTACTCATTTCTTCTAGAATTGTTCTTGCTGCCTTATTTATTCCCTGTCTCTTTAATTTCCCCGGAACCTCATCATTAATCCCCCAATAATCCCCAAACATCAATCCCTGAAATCTTACGAACAAAGTGTCTAAGGGTTTGTTCATCAAAATCCTAATTATTCTGTGATTCATTCCCTCAATTCTACGATTTATCTTCCCTCCCAGCCATTCATTTTGAAAATCCCTTCTCTCATTTAAACCTAAGAAAACCAACCTAACCCCTTCTGGTAATCTTCCTAATAATAATTCTATTGCCCTCCAAGCCCTGTCATCTTGTTCCTTCGCTAAGTCGATCCTACCTGCTGCCCAAACTATTACATCCCCTGATATCATCTCGTCTTTCAAATCTGTCAAGTGCCCTAACCAATCCAATGATTCTCTCTTTGTCCTCATTGGTACTACAACTTTTCCATTTACATTCCCTAATAAATTCCTTATCTCAGTCCCTAGATTGTTTGTATACTTGTCCTCTACGACCCATATGTACCTCTGGCCTTCGAAATCCCTCTCATACCATTTCCTTCTTTTTAGTGTTGGTTTCTCGCCTTCATGTCCCTTTGGTTCATCCTCCTTACCCAGCTTATCATCTCTACCCTTAAATGCAATTTTATTATCAGTTCCTACTTTCAAAATTTCATTAAACGATATGTACTCAGTTTGTTTTACCCCATTGTCTTGTTTTCTCTCAGTCCCTACGCTAACCATTTCCACATCAGTATCATAGCTGCTACTAGCCGCTACATCTAGCTGCTTTTTCTCTGTTTCCAGCAAGTCAACCTCAGCACTTAATATTTGCTCTAATTTAATTAAAGTTTGCTCCAAGCGTGCTTTTTGCTTCCGTGTAAAAGTTTGCTTTAAAGTTTGCTTCCGTGTTGTGAAAGATTTTTCCTCCGATTTATGAATAGACAATTCAAAGGCACAGTCAAAAATCAAGCATGGAGTAGGAGGGAAAAAATCATTCCTCCGTGTTTCAGCTTATCATGTGGTGAAACGTACACCTCAGATGATGTCCTACTTTCAGCCAATTCTCTTCTTGGACTGTAAACAGCTCACATCAGATAATTTGACGGATGATTACTTTTGCCTGTCCTGTACAGTTAATCAATTTGCATACGCATTTTGCGACTGGTTGCTACGTCTAGACATGCTGTACAAGTGCAGTCAAGTATAAAAGATGTACCTATATTAGCCAACTGTACTGAAGTCTTGTACAGATGCCAGATCATGTACAGAAAAATTTTATGAGTGAACACTGCCTTTCCAATTAAATTACCAACATTTCCGACCCTTCATTAATCAAAAATTCTTCTTAAGGGTCCTTTCCTATCCGTCAAGGGAATTAATCATATTGGTATACTTAAACCTGATGAGAAAATTTTGATGGGCCCCACCCTTACAAAGCAAAAGTTCTGGATTTCCTATAGACCTATCCTATTCCTATTTTCCTATCTATCTACTTCTCGGTCTGTTTGAAAACATAATGAGCTAATATTTCAGTTAGCAGCTGACTAAACCCATTAAATAAAAGACTAAAGTTAAAGGATGAATAAATATTGATACAGAGAGTGTAAATTATAGAGAGAAAAGCATCAGAAAAATAGCAGAGATAAGTAAATTCTACGAAAAATATTTTTTAAAACAAAACCATGAAAACCCACCAGAAAGTCTTGTGACAAAATCCTGGCCCTCATTATTACATAAACATGTCGATTTAAGTTTGGATGGTCAATGCAGTTCCTGTATCACAGTCAAGTCAATTGATGGGCCTAATTCCTTGATAAATTGAGTTATTAAATTGATGCAAACCTTAGAATTTGTCACCAATGGGTGCGTTGAGTGTTACTTTCGAAATCTTCAGCGTTTGACTCTTGCATGCGCTGCCTACTCAGCATAGCCTTTCTACGATTGGCTTCAATTGAATCTTTGGCTAGAATGAAGGCTTCAATTCCTAACCCGATGACGACAGTCCTGGAAAAAATATTCATGTGGCAATGAATAATACACTGCAGGAATGGATGTAGCTAGATTCAAGGAAAAAGCTTCACTTAAGTACCAGCAACTTATCTTAGAGAAACAACTGTTGGGAGAGACGTCATGCGACAATGTTGTACAACTCCTAGCGCACTTCCTAAGAGTTGCGTCATGGTGCCTTCGAAGACAAACGGTCGGATCAAGATACAAAAATTTACTTTTTGAGAGTTTTTGTGGCAAACTAGAAGGCTCCTCAACAGAAGGCCCAGCTTAAAAAAAAACAAAAAAAAAAAAAAAAACAGAGATATGGGAAGATCTGGACCTAACTTAAACCAGAATCTCGTTTGCTTTTGGCCTGTCAACACTTTATGGTTGAACATGGACACTAATAGATAACGGAAAAGCTTAGAGAGGGTGCAAAACCCCAAAAACCCGGGTAATTGAAAGACTACACAATGAAGGAAAAAAGAATTCGACTCACCATCCAATTAAAATTTTAGCGGAGGGACTCACGGTAATGTTATTTATAATTCTCCGGAAGCTCATGACTTCATCACTGAAAGTTTAGAGGATATTATGAAAGAGTTTACAACTTCAGCAAAATTTCGTGGAAAGCAAGATGATGTGCTAAATTGCGGCAGTGTTATCACTAATTATCAAACTTGTTCACCAAATTTTTGGTCTCAGACTCAGAAGAGAAGGTTTCCTTTCAGCCCGAATTCAGACTTTCAATGCTGACTGCAGAGGTTATGTGCTGAAAACAGTGAAAAACGCTGAAAACCGGAAAACCTTAGTAAATACCAGAGACAAGTAAATACAGTGTGGTCATATTTTTGAGTTCGTGTGAAGAAATTGGTTGTCCCTTAGCTGTCCCTGATTGGCTGAATGTCAATCTGAGCATCACAATTGGTTCCTGATGTGTTCTACGTCTCGAGAGAAGTCTCGAAGTGGGAGACTCCCTGTCTCCTTCTAAGCTGCTAAGAATTACTCTCTATGCTCCATGCTCCATACAAGTTGTTTACACGCTTCATTCCTAACCTGCAAAACTGCAATTCAACTCTGTGTCCTCCGCTTGCAGGCTGTCGGAATTTGCGTGATAAATTCTTGTGTGTGAACTAATTTACCGCTCGCAATATGGGATTTCCATGTAAGTCGGCTAGTTTGTCTCTTTCTCTACCAACAATTTCAATTTTTGAAATTGCTCCTGAACTCACGCGGCTTTTGAAACGGCGCAGCCCGGAGCACGTGTTTTCGTAGCCTGTCACGAGGCATCTCTCTGAAATGACATTCTTAATTTAATATTTGAACCTTATTTTCTTACCTCTTAATTTTCTCAATTTTCTCTCAGAAATTTATCTGCACTTTTCATCAATTGGTTGTATCTGTGCAATTTTCACCCACTCCATTACAGTCAAGGCTAATACCCAATGCAACTTTAAATTAAGAAGGGCAATCCTGGGTACATTCTGTTTTGCTCTCTTTCCTCCATAGCATCAAGGGGATAGAAACTGACTATTTTATTATTGCAAGGTATTTTACTCGTGATCAGCATCTTAATCCTCCCAAGGAGTAATCATAGCGTAGATTTATGCTTTCCTGTCATGATGGCACCGAGTCCTGTGGGTCAATCACAGGGGTGCAAAAATTGATCGGCTGAGCGCAGACTGTTCGCGGAGCTAATGTGAAAGCTTTAAAAGGGTAACAAAATGAGAAGGTCAAAGGCAAAGGAAACTGTGTAACGCGCTCTTCTTATTGAAGAAAACAGGTAAACCCACTCATTTATGTGAAGGAAACAGTGACGCGCGCCAGTCTTCACTGTCAAGGAAACAGTGAAGGCAACCTCAAAAAATGTGAAGGGCAGAACTTTCTGCATCCCTGAGTCAATTATCAAAATTTTGTGTTCGTCTTTTTAAGGCGAGCTAGGATTTTATGTAACGTTTTCGTCGCTGAATTAATGACAAGCCAAAACCACCCTTGAAGTTGCTGCCAGCTTGTAGCGGATTTCACCTGACATACTAAGGCACAATCGCTGAAACAACTATCAAAGTTTGCCAATCACACCACTATATTTCACCATTGTCTTTCTTGTGGAGACAAAAAATCCAAAATTTCTACCTTTAGCCTACTGGTGTAAATTACCGTATAGTGGGATCATGTGAAGAGGATGTAAGAGAATCCATAGTGCTTTTCTCATTACTCTATTGTACCTAAAGTCCAGAATAAGAACAATGATTCAGTTACCTGACATTTTCACCCTAGTGTCAGTCTTACACAAAAATTCATGATCAAGCATCAAAATTTCCAGTCTTGTTTATGTTGTTAGTAGCTGAAGTTGGAAAATGCGTATCTTTGTTTGGGACATTGCTATTCTTTGCTAATGTTCTATTGTTTTCAGATTTAAATTAATCAAAGATTTTCTCTTAAATGTTTCATGAATGTTCTTTGATATTTAAGAGCTTCCAACCCGTCAACACTCAAAAATTCTTGTACTGAATCTTAGTTTGTCTGTTCTTTGTTTCCAGCATTTTCACCCGGTGGTAGAGGAGGACGAGGTGGTGGAGGAGGAGGAGGCCGCGGTGGTTTTGGAGGCGGCCGAGGAGGAGGTCGCGGTGGTTTTGGAGGCCGTGGTGGAGGCCGAGGAGGTGGATTCAAAAGCCCAGGCGGTAGGGGTGGAGGTCGTGGAGGTGGCCGTGGTGGTCGCGGCGGAGGAGGAGGAGGTAAAAATTCTTCATTACACTGTTCTAAATAGTGGCTGTCTTTGACTGCCATGAGCCTGTAGGTATTCATGATGGGCTTAAAAATCTTCAATTTCAACTTAGAAGTGATAAACCAATGTTTTCTGACTGAAACCTTAATTAAAATATTCCCCTCGTTGAGGGAAGTAAAGTTTACCTACTGGAATTAAATTGGAGACTCATCCTAACCTCAGTGAGTTCTATAACGAAAAAAATTTTTCTTTGTGCAGGATCTTTTTCTGAAAATTTTATAACTCAAATGTAGCGAAGAAGGAAGAAAAGCTTGTTGAGCAAAGGCCTTCTTGCTGAAGGGTGCATTTGAACTTAATGACCAACTTGACATACGTTGATTTTGGTTATTTCTGTGAAAAAGAAGTGCACTCTCTTGCTTGAATGTGAACAATAATTGCTTATTTCTCTCTCATGTGTCAATTTTGGAGATATTTAGTTTGCGTAATGCTTGAAATTTGATGAGAAAACTAGTCCTGAAGTGCTTAAATTTTAAACCTGTTTAGTGATTAGTCAAAGAGTTTCTCTATTCTGAAGTCCATCTTGCCGTAAATTGTCACACATTTACCCATAAATACTCTTGAAATAAAACTGATGAAAGAGGAATGAGGATGTCCTTTTCATCCAGTCCTCCATGATCAATTTTATTTTTACTCTGGTGTGTTTCAGGATTTAAGGGAGGTAAAACTGTTATCATCGAACCGCATAGACATCCAGGTGTCTTCATTGCTCGCGGGAAAGAAGATGCTCTAGTCACAAAGAATATGGTCCCTGGTGATGCTGTCTACGGTGAAAAAAGGATTTCAGTTGAGGTAGGCAGAATTCACAATTGATCAGCTCAGAGTCTCTTCTAATTTGGTAAATAATTATCATAATTTTAGGAGCTAATTTTGATTGTCGATATCTTTAATTAAGATCATGAATTGAATGGGCCTGTTGCAAACTTTTGCTAGAGCAAAACTAAGAGTTGTTTCCTACAGATAATGCCTCAAAAATCACGATGAGCGCATCGGCAAAGTTTGAAATGCACTCATAACTTCACAATCTGCGTAAGAAATTTGCGATTTTTTGAGCTTCCCGCTTTGAAAACGATACTACGGTACAGGTGAACATTTTGTTAGAGGAGTCGTTCCATTGGCGGCAATACTCATCATGGCCGACGCCAGTCCGCCAAAACACGTGTGATGGGACGAGATAACACCTGAACAGAATTAAACCAGATAACAATCGGCGTGTTTACGTTCATATTTTCCTCGCCCACCTTAATTGACCTTGAGTTCTCCTCAAATTACGCGAGGAACTGCGCAAGCGTCGGCCATGATGAATATTGCCGACGATGGAGCGACTCCTCTAACAAAATGTTCATCTGTGCAGTAGTATCGTTTTTGAAGCGGGAAGCTCAAAATAACGCCAATTTCTTACGCAGATTGTGAATTTATGAGTGCATTTCAGACTTTGCCGATGCGCTCATCGTGATTTTTGAGGCATTTTCTATGGGAAACAACTCTTCATTCTGCTCTAGCAAAAGTTTGCAACAGGCCCATCGATGATTTTCAAACTGTTGAAGTTTCTGGCAAACCGAACACTCTAACAAAAATCCTCCTCTGTAAGATAGGAGAGTCAGCTTGTCCGAGCAGTCGATGATGAGAAATAACTCTGGATACCTATTCTGTAAGAACCTGTCAATATTCCGGTGTAGGTGAAATGATGCGTTTTACTCATTTTATGTGACCGAAAATCGCTGTGAACTTAACCCAAATGTGGGAATTTTGTTATTTTTTATTAAATGTATGAACTTTTCTATTGTAGACATGAATCATGGCACCTTAGGTAAGTTTTATAAGCCAAAATGTCACAGAACGATATAAAGAAATCAATGATAAAATTTCTACGAATGTTCTTCTTATGTTTTGCAGGAAAATGGTGAAAAAATCGAATACAGAGTATGGAACCCTTTCAGATCGAAATTAGCTGCCGCCATTCTTGGTGGTGTGGACCAAATTCACATGCCTCCAGGAAGTAAGGTGCTATACTTGGGTGCTGCATCCGGCACAACTGTTTCCCACGTTTCAGATGTTGTTGGGCCAGTAAGTTTACACTTTGAATTATCAGGGAGAGAAGGGAATATAATTTGAGAACTGTCTTTCTAGTTCAACTAGAGAGAACAATTTGATGGCAGCTGAAAATTTTCTGTGACAAACTAGGATAAAATTGGTCATGAGAATCTTTAAGGATCGGAGATCCTCTTCTAGGGGATTCAAGGTACAATTTCAGTCACTTAACTATATTCTTCTTAATGGTGGATCTTGAACCAGAATGATGAAAAAATTAATTTATCAACAAGTAAATTCTATAATATCTTGTGTTGTACGCACATGTGCCAAAATAGTTGCTTTTTCTAGTCACTGAGTCTGCACAAATTGTCTGTAGGGAAACCACAGAGATCTTGACAGCTCTCTTTCCTTCCTACCTCATTTTTTTCTCTCTAATAATATTATGTATGTAATTTATTTTTGTTTTCTCTAAAAAAAATTAAAAAACATTCTCCAAAAAGGAAAAATCACACCAAATTCGAGCCATGATGATGATAAATTTAATCGGTTTTGGTTAGATGGACGGAGATCCAAAAACTCATGAGCCCTAGCGTCCTGCAAGATCAACGAAAGCCAGGGCTAATGAATTATTGGTCTAACGTCTATCTAACAGAATTTGATTCAATTATCCTTCAAGGAAGTGAAAATTGTCAGTAAATCTGTATTGTTGCAAACCGTGACTTTAAAACCGTGATCTTCTCAAAGCTCCAAAATCGATAAGTAATCTAAAGCTGCAATTTCCTCTAAATTCTCACTGTTTGGGTTAACAGTGCCAGTTTCCACAAGAGCCCATGTCAGAAGTTATGGTTATCGATCGGTTGGTTATCAGTTGACACTGAAGCTACAATCCATATATTAATTAAAATCAAATGGTTACCGGCACAGCAACATGCTGATTAAAAAAAATCCCAGCTTAATCTTGAAACCCCAAAATCGGGCCAAGCAAATGATTTCCTCTCTTCCATGTTGACTTACCATGAAACTGTCCTCTTTTTCTCAGGAAGGTTTAGTTTATGCTGTAGAGTTCTCTCATCGGTCCGGCCGAGATCTTTTAAATGTAGCCAAGAAAAGGACTAATATCATTCCAATCATCGAGGATGCTAGACACCCACACAAGTATCGTATGCTTGTTGGAATGGTGGACACAATTTTTGCTGATGTTGCTCAGCCAGATCAAGCTAGGATTGTAGCAATCAACGCCCACAGTTTCCTCAAGAATGGTGGCCATTTCGTCATCTCTATCAAGGTGAGTTCAAATTATTTGATACAGGAAAGTAAAGCAAGATATCTGAGAAAAGCCTCTATTATTGTGTCCCTGTGCATGTGTTCTTGCCAGGAAAAAATAATATGTCAAGTTGAAATGAAATTTGATTGCTGTGAACAACCATTGGAATCGTTTTGAAGTTACTACAATACCTCTGTTGAGTGCATCATACTCTCTTCACAATAAGCTTCATGGTAGACCCACGAAATGTAAGTGTCGAGGCGTCCTTCACGATAAATTCAGTAATCTATCCCTTAAAACTATGGAAAAGACTTGATCACTAGGGTGTTTGCTACAAACACCTCAATAATCAATACTTTATCTTAACATCAAACAAAAAAATCATTGGTAGATTTTTACGAAAGTCAAAATTTTTGTGTGGAATTGAAGAGATTTTATTTCAACTTAATATTTTTTCTCTATTTCTAGGCAAATTGCATTGACTCAACAGCACAACCCGAAGCTGTCTTTGCAGGAGAAGTGAAAAAGTTACAATCAGAAAAGATGAAACCCCAGGAACAGCTAACATTGGAACCTTACGAGCGAGATCATGCAGTAGTAGTCGGTATTTACAGGCCCCCACCGAAAAACAAGTAGTCTTTAAGTATTAGTGTATAGGAATCTTATTTTCTCAAAATATCAAGGGTATTTTATTTTTTTAAGTTTTGACTGTACCATGTTTAATGTTTATAAAAAAAAAAATTGTCACTAATTCAATAGTGACTTATCTCTGAACTGGATAATTACATAATTTGAAAGCTACCTTTACGGATAACCTCAATTAAAACTACCATCCAATGAAGGTCTTTGACACATGAAGTAAGCCCCAAGAACCTAAGAATCTACTAATCTCTTATTGAGGTAATTTTTGTATCAGAATTTAATAGGAAGTATTTCTATTTTCTGTCGAGATGACTTCAAGTATGAGTCAGATAGTGTTGGAAACTTTTGAAGACATGAAATATTTTTTATACATTTTCACTGTGTTAATCTCTTGGAATTTTTAATAAATGTATTCCATGAATTGAGTCTCTTCAGTTTCTTAATTCTTCCCTTTTTTCTATCCATGCAGTCTAATTGGACATTATCAAGACAATTGACCTATCAATCAACTAAGGGAGTTTTTAAAAACTTGTAGGTATCTTCTGAAACACTCCATTTGGATCTATGTTGTTCTCTAAAATTCCCATTGTGGATACATCTGTTTAGCTTGTACCATCTTGCTTTCCAACAAAAAACGCTGCCATACTTAATGAGTTCCAAAGAAATCCTACTCCCTACGATCAGGAATTGAGATTAAAAAAGAGAAAATGATCAGGAGGAAAAATATTTATTTTTCAAAAAGATAATCAGCTTCATGTACAGTGAGGAAGGGAGAAAAATGAAACGACAGACAAATAATTAAACATAAACAGCGATGTCAAGCTAACACAAGTAAAAAACAAGGGAGTTAAACATAATTATGTACTTGAAAAAAGGAAAAATGAACATAGTTCCTCTATTTGATTTAAATTAAACATAAAGGAACCGACCCACCTCTTCCTGAAACCAAATCATTTGATACATGGTACACGTGTACTCTGATAATGAAATTTTTACCATGAAATATGATCGAGGTGGGTTGAAGTGAGCTTGTTCTTTTCTTCGAACTCACTCTATCTGAGCCGCAAACATTGAAATGCTTTCATACAATGATTTTTTTGGATGCACAACTTTGAAACTCGTTGAGACAAGTTCAAAATTGTTGGATCTTCATGGAAAATCAAACCCAAGTCAAGGTTAAATGTCTTTTGACTCCGAAAGCAACATCCAGAAAATGGAAAGCAGGAAACCCTTTTTTGTCTATGACAGCTTTGGAGAGCTGAAGACAAGGATTTACTTAGATATCATCTTTGTCAAAAATAGTTTGTTTCAAGGGTAAAATACTCCATGTCTTCAGCTAGTCTTCGAAAATTATATCATTAAAAGGAAAATTATTAGATGACATCAATCAAAGTCGAGATTGATGATACAGAATCATGACACTTTATCGATCGCAAGGAGATACAATGAAAAATGAGAGTAATTTCCTGCTAAATCCTAGGAATAAAAATAAAGAAAGAAGACTTACTATCAGTCTGCTCCTTAAAACTAAGCCAAGCGTTGAGATAAATGGAAAATAATAAAAAACTAATAATGTGGATGAGGGGGGTGGAAATAGTTAAATTCGTCTAACAAAATAATCTAAATAAAACAGTCGAAAGATCAGACACTAAAATGGGAAGTTATCTCCCATTATTCTAATACTTAGTACTTACACAGAAATCGTGCCACAACAGTTGAGGACAGATTTCCAGTACTCAAATTTTTATGAGGATCATATAGATCACTAAACGCTTGATCTATGGCAGTTTTTAAATACTTATTTTAATTTGAGATCTTTTTAATCACTCAAGTTAAGTTACTAACAGATTCAAACGCAACCAATGAAGACATTCTTTAAGCTTTTTTGGAATTTAGAGGTTACAAGAGCCCTCTTTTACAAGTTGGAGAAATCATGCATTCAGTTTTTCCGTTTCATGACAAGTTTTAAGTCTTCAACTTGACGTCTCGAGTGATAGCTTCCTTGTAAACCATTGAGTCGAGTTCCCAAGGTTGAAGGTTATAAATGCTTAACTTGGGGGGATACAACCGAACTAAAAGCAATATAGACTCTGAAATGTTCAAGTTATCGATACTCTAAAATTAGTTTGCAATTATAAACATAATGACAACAGAATTTAAGTCCTATTTGTTTCCAAAACCAAATTCATGTGACTAAAGATTTTGAGCAACTGAAAAAAAAAAAAAAAAAACATAGTGATTGTGAGTTAAAGTTAGCATCCTCCTAGAATTAATTTGTTCATTTACAGCCAAGATTATGACAGGTTTATTCAGGTTAAAAATTTGTAATGCTGCTCGACTCAAATTAAACAAAGTCATTCTTGTGACCCACACATTGTACATTACACCAACATTCTTTAATGTTCTTTTCCACTCACATATTAAAAGCCAGCTACATTTGCCATAACGAACAATGCACAAGCTGGATATCATGTCCTAAATGAGCCAAAACTTCAAGCAAAGGACTCTTGCGGGCTGGATTCAATTACGTATGCACTCGGTAAACTCCTACAAATTTTTTACTGTCTGGGCATTAAAATCCCCATTTCGAAATTTTGGCTCACATGAAGGTATCAAGTCGCAAGTTAAAAATTTGGTCGTTTAAGTGCCCTTAAAAATAAGAAGGCAAACCACAACCACACAAATAAATTAAGATTTGAATATTAGGGAATTAAAGATGGCTAACACTTATTAATTGCCATGTTTGAGTATTTTTTCAGAGCTTTAAAAAAGAGGTGAGTAAAGGAACAAACCGCAAGATAAAATCTTAAATCAAAATTTGATCGAGGAAGACCTAATGGTGGATAAATAGGAATGTATGTTAGAACTTGCTGATTAGTAAAACTGCAGCAGAACTGCTTGGATTATAATGTTGTAATGAAATAGGTTGAACATTATAAAATAAAATGTTTAAGTATCAGTGGGCAAAAGCTAAGAATAATGAATGAAGAAGGATGACTGAGTTTGATTCAGCTTCAACGATAAATTGTTGGTAAAATTGAAGAGAAAATAAATCAATTATGCTGAACAAAATGTTGCAAAAATAGTAAGTAAAATAGGAGCAAAAGATTTCAAATTTCTAGAGAATCATAAATATGTGACACAAAAGAAACGGAATACCACCATCTGCAGTTGAATCATCATTCCACAAGACTTGAAATTTTGTTAATTTTCTCGTGCACTGCAGATTCGTTTCACACAATTTAAATCAGTCATGTTCACCTGAACCGCAATACTTTTCCCTTAACCGTAGGTTGAGCTGAAATCTTCAATTCCATGCTAAAGTTCCGAAACGTACAGAGAAAATAACCAACCTTCATTTAAATGGTCACGGAAAACCACAAAGCACTCTAAGAAACGATCAGTGGATAGTTATAAATGTCTACCTCTAAACCAAATAAAAGGAAGATTACAACAAAGTATTCATATATACAGATGCTACAAGCGCTCTCCTTTGAAGCGAGTCGCAAAAAATGAATTTAGCTTCTGCTTCGAAGTCGAGAAACAGATTGCCAGTAATTGCTACTGCCATGATACAGAGCTCTCATTTTAGGAATGTCAATTTCATAATTTTCTTAGACATTTTGTTTCCAAAAGTACTTTGACTGGAAAACGGAGAAAGAAAAAAAATACGGTGTTTCCTCCAAAAAAAACACTGAAAAGTTGTCTGCATAGAAAAAAAATCAATCTCTATGCTACTTTGAATTTCATTAGTCTCAGATTGATGAAACGAATGGCATTAGAAGTATTGACACTTTTTCAAAACACATTTGCTGGTCCTGTATTTTGGCACTTTTTTTCCTCTCGTGACAAAATGAAAGCTAAAGAGAAACCCTCTAATTTCAAACGTCACTTGCTAGCAAAGTGGACTGCAGTTACAATGGTGACATCCTATAGCAAGTACATACAATTTACTTGTGTGCTGAAATTCTGAGGGAGATCATTTTTCTTAAACAGCGAGACATAATTCATTAACAAGTTACTGTTTTTAGCATTTGGTGCTGTCTGTTAGCTGGTTAAAAAGGATCAATAAAAAAAATTCCAAACGAGAACCCTGTCACTTGGCGATCTACCCGATTCATTAAATACGTAAAAATAAAATGTTATCTGATATCTTTTCAGAAGCGGTTCGCTGGGTCTTCATTACCAAAAACCCGCATGCGAAGGAGGCCACAAATCTTGACAGTACTGTCACGCTTAGTTCATCACTAGAACAGATACACTGAAAGAAGTAGAGACTTATACAAAGCTTTGGATAGTTTAATCAAATGTGATTATTTGGCTGGCGGCGCGGTGACTGGAACAGGACCTGGGTAGTAATACGGCGGAGGTCGCTCGTACTCTGTCCCCATTGGGGGTGGAGTTGTGTAGTGCGGTAATGCACTGTTTGGGAAGTCCCAATGTCTGAAAAAAACATCAAAATGATCAGTATAAATTAAATGTGAACGAAGAGCGTTTGCGCTTCTACCTATTGAGTATTGACATTTTTACATAAGATGCGGGATCCTTTGGTGAATTCTAAATTTACCTTATTATATTTCTGCCTTCTTCAATTGCTCAAAAATACATTTTAGTGAATCTTGAGTGAAAAAGACATGCATTTAAATATTTCAAATCAAACCATAGTAATGACGGTAAACAAATTTTGACAGGTTGAAGAAGAGCCAAAGAAAATGTCTTCAATAAATAACAAAAATTGTTTGCCTCTTATGATATACAATACTAGAGAAGATTTGCAATGTCACAATTTGGTATAACTTAGACAGAGCGCACTTCAGTTAGGCAGATTGTGGTCGAAGCTGTTCATTTAGAAAGTGACAAAAACTTTCAAAAGCATTCTCATGAATTTCTAAAATACTACAAGTCAATTTCTGTGGAGCTACAGATTTTGATTTGCATTGTGCAAAGGGAATTAAGACATACTTTGGAGCCATATCTCCAGCGAAACGACTATCCGGCGCTGAGTTGGTAGCTACAGGGGAGGCTGATGTATTGGACGTGCTTGTGCGATTGTCTGCCCTGGAGCCACGGCCCAAATGCGCAGAGTAGTCAGCGGCTGCACCATTGTCATATGTTTCATGATTGCTTCTTTTAGTCTTCTTTTTCTTCTTCTCACGCACGCTGTAAAATTATGAAAATGTGATGAAAGTGAGGATTGTTATGGACAGCCAAGTTTCCCATTCCCTTGAACTGTTGTGTAACAACAGAGTTTCTTCTCTTTTTTTCCCCTCTTTAAAGTAGGAAGTCGACTCAGTGGGTCAATAGATACACTTAAGGCCTAGAGACATAGTTAGCGTAATACAAAAACGCATCATATTCGATGAAAGATAAATGTTTTCATCTTATTCAACTCATTGGAGGGTCTTGCCTGAAGCCGTTGAGTTCCAATAATTGAAAATTTCCGACTGACCAATAAAAATGAATGATAAATTGAATTTAATTATTTTTTGTGATAGGCATTTTCTGCCAAAAGAGATCACTAAAAGGATAAAAACCACATAACTTATGGTCAAATGTTTGATGCTAAATTAAAAGAATAATACTTACTGGGCAAGGGGAATGTTTTCTCTATGATCACTGTATGCATCATACAAGTATTCTCTGCAACAAAAAGAAAATTAAAATAGTAACTTGCTAAAGGTTTGACTGATCAAAATCTGCTAGGGTTTTCTTGCAGACAAATTCATTTTCTTTTGTGTGGCTAGTTACAGATCAAAGCTTGGTTCACACACTTCAATGGCCATATCAACATTATTGTTCGTTTTGAATTCAAAGCAGAGCATGAAAAAATAAACGCCAGGCCTGCACGCCTGGCATGGCTGTTAAAACGAATGCACAGCTCACAAGAACGGCCGTATTTTTTCTAACCACTCAACTGATGATGACCATGTTAAATGCTTACAAAAGGTTACCAGTACAAGGAAGAAGAAAATTTTAATACTTACGCTTCAACCAAAGGTCCTGGATACGGGTCAGACTTCTGATACAGAGAGGCCAAGATCACACTCAAAATTATTGCAGGGATGAACAGAAGCAAAATGGAGCCGGAGGACACCCAAAACCCATTCTGCACAGAGCAAAATATACATGTCAGAATAAGTGATAGATAACAAGGGTAGGAATTTTTTTAAGCCTCCTACGGATAAAAGAGGGTGGTGAGACTGTGAAAGATCCGAGCAGAAGAACCATTGACAATTGAAGTTAGATTTAAAAATGAAATATAAAAATGTTAAAAAGTGTGAACAATCAGAAAACTTTTTGTTGAATTTCTTACTTAATATGTTTGCAAAAGGTAGTGACAAAAAATAATTATGAAAAAAAAGTTGGTATCATTGCCAAATTATCAAAATCACTCACAGTGATGTAAAACATAAATAGCGATTGATACAACATACAAGACTAGACAAAAATTGGAATGGCAATAAGTGTGATCGAAAGCTCCTCCTTCTTATTTGCACAAAAAAAGCACGATTCCACTTTCAAGCTCTTGCAGAGTACTTATATGGGAGTCTTCTCTTAAAAACAAATGGTTGAAACGAAGTGAAATCATCAATGACATCGCAGTGAATGAGGAATAATCATTTAGTAATTAGTACATATAGTACTCTTCCCCTTTCCTCTAGAATATCTTGGATCATTTCTCTTCATTCACGAGTCGACAAAGAGCGATGGTAGGTGGATTTTTGAATTTTATACTCCTATGTACAAGGAAGAAGAGTCAGATACAGAAATTGAAAAAAAGCCAATACTCACGAATGGAAGAAGCATTTTGTTGCATCCGGAGACAATTGTTGCATTGTAGACTTGTGACAAAGGCCAGCAGTGTCCTATTTCCTTCGTCGTCAAAGTGACAACTCTCTCTAAATACTGATTAATATGCCGTGTGAATTCCTCCCCAAAGTCTTTGGCCAGCTGAAAAAGATCAAAATATTGTATTATCAGAAATGTAGACCATCTCATTCATCCTTCATTCTGACAACTGTCTAAATACGCAATATAATAGCTCCTGGCTGTAGTTTTTTGTTGCTTTCTGACAGAGTGTATTTTGTGTGCAATGATGTGATGTGATGTTATTCAGCAGTATTCAAAGTTACTGATTTTAACGAAATTGAATACTTCAGCTGAGAACAGGTGGCAAAAATAAATGATAAGGGAAAGAGTTAAAATCAGACTGAAATACCTTTTGAACTATGGATGGTCCTTCGTTATCCAGGAATGTCTGTGCGTCTTCTACATCCAGCATGAGGTGTTCGATGGCGTCCTTGAGGGAGGTGTGATTGAACTTCAGGTGGACGCTGAGCTGATGAGCCGTCGCTTCCAATTGTTTTGACAGCTGCAGCATGCTGGCTACATGCTGGCTTTGATGCAAGTGCAGGTACATAACCTGATTTCGCAGAAAACGCTTCACTTCAGCATGCGAGTCTGGCAGCTTTGTTGATGTCTCATTCAGCGCTCCTGCTAATTGCATCAAGTCAATCGAAGTGATTTTTTCTCCAAGCTGCAGGCAAAAAACAGACAAACAAATTACAGGAATCTAGAAGGAGCTTGAAGAAGCAATTTTGAAGAGTAATAGCCTTCAGGAAACTCCAAAGTTCATACCTCTTTTTAGCCATATAATTATTGAACAATTATTCGTAAATAATTTATGGGAATCTACTAAGTATGCTGATTGTTGGAAAACGAGACCTAATGACCAAAACGATACTGGTTAAAATTTTAGGAGCATCTGGCAATAACTGATTTGTAGGAAAATGAAATGTAAAGTTCACAGAAAATTTGAGCTTTTGCCAGAAAATGTTTTGAAGAGTCCTAAAACATAAATTGCAGGCTTCATTCATTTTTAGGCCTAGGCAGAGAGTAAAGTTAAAATTATAAATCTCTTTCTCAAAACTGGCTGCGGATTTTATAGAGTCTGTTAAGTAAACCTTGTAAATTCTATACGAGTTCAGCTCAAGTCTTTGGAAAATTTCTTTGTTAAATTATTCAAGAATTACACACAGAAAATTACACTAATAAAGAAAAATCCCTACTTCAGTATTCAGTAGTTCACAATCATTCTCAAAATAATTTATAAATTACATGCTTCGGATCTATTTTTGTCTCTGAAAGAAGTGAATATTACAAGCAGCAAAACTTACAACATGTGTGTATGCAGGGAAATCAATGTTCGACAATGGTGAATGCGCCAGGTGGAAAAGTTGCGTCTTAGCCTCCTCTGTGAGGATGTTAATTTTGTTGTTCAGTCTGATCTGGGTAGTCAGATCTTGAATTTTCCGCATGATTTCAAACTTTTCAGCATAGTGTCGAACTTGTTCCATGTCTACCAGTCCCTCCAAATCCAGCACTTGGTAAATACTTTCATTGCGGTGGCAACTTCTACAAAAAAAAAAAAAAACCATTTATTACACTGACTTGGTGATGAGATATGATGACTGTCCACACAAGGGTAAGTGAAACAAAGTTATACTCTTCCCCTATTCAAGCACTTGAAATCACGCAATTCTTGAAAAGCACTTGACAATATGCTCAATTGGACGGAGTTAAACAGAAAGGAACCAAGCCACATCGGGATCGAACCGAGAAAAAGAGGTTTAAAGTTTGGCTCCTGCATAAGACTCAATGTAAAAGATAAACTTCAAGTTAAATTTCTGCAAAATTTGCTCCAACAAAAACTTTGAATTTTTGGCGATAGATAGTAGAGCAGTGGTTGAATTCAAAACCACTCATAACTCAATTTTTTCCAAAATGTGGGTTGGTTCCTTTCTGCTTAACTCGGTCCAATTATATTTGTTCAGTTTCAGCTTTAGCAGGGAGTTATAAAGAAAATGCCGATTTTGCAATATCCCACTTCTGTTAGTCCAGTCTCCTCTGGCAGAGGGCCATTGAACTGATGAGACTTACTTTTAAAACTGACATTTTGTTTGCCTTGATACAGAAGACTGGCTAAATTAATTAATAACTTATCTATTGCAGAAAAAGTTGTTTTTGACTTCCTTCATCTTGATATGTATTATCCTGTTCATGATATGCCTTTACTTAAAGTATGAGACAAGGCATATCAGATTATTTATTTATTTACCAACAAGAATAACCTAATTCCAGTATTACATGCTTTTCTCTGTTAGAAAGAATGCAAAACCAATAATATGTCCATCGCTTTTGAATGGAGAGAGAGGGCACTTTGACGGTGTAAGTCAGCAATCGCGTAACTCGTTTGCGGTGTTGAAAATCTTTGCCTCTATGTTTTTTTTTAAAGGAGAACAAATTGACATCATTCCTTGAAGTTTTTGCAGGATTTTCTTCACACAGAGAAGAAAAATCACGGCAGATTTAAAGATTTGCCGTTGAGTAGTTTTCCGTGTAAAAAATAAAGTATGACAGGAAGTCTGCGACGTCGCAAACCGAGTTATGTGATTGCCGTATTTGCACCGTCGACTTGTCACTGCTAGTCCTGTCTTAAGATTTAATTTTCCCAGGTTTTTCTTTTTCATCGATAATGGCAGAGGAGACAGACTTGAGCGTTCTGAGCTATTTTTTTTTTCTTTTGAATTATTTGCAGCATCATCTCCAAATTTTCATGTAATTTGTGTTTCTGCATTCATTCAGGCTGTGCAGGTTTTTATAACTCCATAATACAGTCATTTCATATAAAAAATGGTCTCCAGAAATAAGCCATATTTTCAATATATTAGAAATAAGTTTCACCCTGTCTGCTGACCGATTAGAGTTCTGTTGGGATTATTTCATTTAATGGTGTAAGCCATTTTTTCATTCAGAAAGAAATGACAAACATGCATCCTGGATGATGAAATAATCGTAGTATTAGATACAGAACATGAATTTTTGATGAAGGTAAAGAGACTGTACCTACACAGTTTGTACACTTCAAGAAACTTGTCTTAAAATATTGAACATAAATTAATGTCATTTGAGCAATGACCATGCATACCGAATTACAGTGCTGATGTTTAAGTGCGGTGTCAACTCATCAGGCCTGCGTGGGTAGATGTCTTTGACGTTGAGGATTCTATCAAACAAAGCAAAGATCCTTGAGTTGTCTGGAGCATGAAGGGGCTCGCAGACAGTTTTTTGAACCGTGATTCCGGTCATGAAATGGGCGAGGGTGATGGCCATTAAAACTGCTGATGAGAGGAACATGAGCCAGACGCCCAGCATGAGGCAGCGTGCGCCGGAGCCTTTGTTACAACAATCGTCCTGGTAGCCTCCATCAGGGCGGGCTCCGCAGAAACCACAGAACAATCCCATCGTAAGACTCATCAGAACCATCAGTAAAGCGACGCTCACACCAAGACCCAAGTAATACCTGCCACAAAAACAGATTCAATGTTCTTTTACAGGAAAAAATATGTGATGAGTAAACCCAAAAAGCAAAAAGATTTTAACTGAGATCTAGATGAGAAGAACCGGCAAGAATTTTCAAAAAGAGCAAATTATCTGTGCCAATGAGAACATTGCATTGATTTGCCACAAAAATCAAAGCCCTCAAATAATTTGTGATATTGAAAAAATAAAGTCAAAGCTCATTTTTAATGCAGAATGTTGCGGCAGGAAAAAACCTACACCTTCTGTTTCTCTAATACTACGATTTAATTTGATTTTTCAAATACTTCTCCTCGAAACCATATTTTTCAAACAAGCAATTTTAAACGATGAAACTCTTTTTGAATTCATAATTTCGGAAATGTTTTGTGTCAATCTATTGGAAAAAATTTCCCTGTAAAATAGTGCTGATATTTTGACTTTGAGTTTTTCAATACCAAGAAGATCCTTTTCCCATGGACGCTAACATATCGAGAGGATTCTTTGAAACACTTACATATTCTTAAACTGAACATGATTTCTTGAGCTTTTGTGAGAGGGTCATTCATTTTTTGAGCCTGGAGCTATCTTCAATAGCTAAACTAATCAGTAAATAAATAATCTCAAATACCGGAGGAAACCAAACTGGATCGCAGTAACTTTTTATATATGAACAGCATACACAGAACAGCAGGGAGAAAATCACTTAGCAACTAAAAACTATACAGTGTTGTAAAGTTTTTACAGAGCCTATTTATTAGAAACAGAAGCCTTGTATTACAGATCTCCAACAATCAATATTCTCAAAGATTTTTTGAAATTTTACGATACAGTTCAATGTAGCTTTTCGAAATCAAGATACAAGATTTTTAAGAATTTTTCTGAGTTCGAAACCAGGATAACAGGTTTCTCAAAGTAGACTAGAATTGCTGATGGTGATTGACTTACTTGTACTCTCCATATTCAGTGATGTAAAACTCTCCTTTGTTCACGTGTTGAGGAGTATGAGTGTGTATCTCAGTTCGAAATCGGTCTAACAGCTGCGTTATTTTGTCTGCTGCCCTTTTGATTGCATCTCCTATTGCCAAAAAAAAAAGAAATTTAAGTAATAAATCAAATTTTGATCACAAAATCCATTTTACCAATTGAATTCCAACATCCTGAGTAATATGTCAGGGAAAGAAAAGAGAGGCAATAGCAGTATTCATGTGGCGCAAACTAAGCAGTATTAAATGGGAAATTCAAAATTTTCAGAATTAGTTCTCGAAATATACACATGAAAGATATACATTACTGGTATTGCATTTCTCCCAAAATACTTATATTTTTACCTCAGCCATAAAAGCACATATTTGCATGGGAAAACTAATGGCACAAAGGCTGTTTTAAAAATAAAGCCGCAAACAGAGGCTCCTGCTTTTAGAGTGCATTCAAATGGATAGACATGTTACTTCCTTCTTACCAATGAGAGAGCGATCAAGGAAAGTGAGGTTAAGCCTGCAATAATTTTGGTAAGAATCTTGACATCTGGTAAGAACACATTCCGATTTTTGCAAAGTAAATGTTCTGACAACGATGGAGCATGGTGCAAAAATTTGAGTTCAGCCCATAAACAGTCAGTGACATTCAAACACGGTAGAAATGTTACACCCTGACCCTCAACGTTTTGATTGTTACACAAAATAAAATTCAAAATACGACCACCATATGAGAATACAAATAAACGAGCGCAAAGTTTACGCCAGTTTATAGAAACTTCAAGCCATGTTCTTTCACTGTTCTTGCAGAGTCAAGTTACTATAATTCAATTAAAAATTGATTTGATGAGGAGAGGATGATGATAAGGCAATTAGTCATAACTATCAAGGGCCTGGTGATGATAATCGATTCTACTGACTGTTTCTTGAAAACCTTACCTGCTCTTCGAATATTGTCGGAGATTTGGGGTATCGTGCTTTGGACTTCATTCTGAATGGAAACCTGTATTTTTTCAAACTCTCTTTTTCCTTTTAGGACTTCATGTTCGATGTCATCCTTCATCAGCTCTGAAACGTTTTGTAGACTGGCAGTTACATCCGGAAGCTAAAACAAACGCCAAACAAACATTCATTAGATAAGACAAACGGAAACTCTAATAATTTAAGAAAGGCATACACAACCGAACTTTTCCTTGAATATTTATCGAGAGTCAAATTCTGTCGGTTATCTTCTGTGGATTGCAGATTACTTAAGCTGCCTGTACAATCTTGAGTGAGATCTCTGATTAACTGATTCTGCTAATTTTTAGGTTATACCTATTTCATTTGTAAGTTGCTTGTGCTGGCAAAATTTGAAATTGGAACATAGTGTTGGCTGAAAGTAAAATAAATCTACCAATTTCGACACATTGAGAACTTTCCAAAAAGTAAAGTTGAGAACATACAACAACTTTACGACATTTCCATAGACATTATTTTGCAATTCTTTAGAATCAGATGTTTAAGTGTATTTTGATGATGAAACTGCAAGAATGCTGATCTTAATTGCTATCTCTCAAAACTCTGCTCCCAGTCCGTTTCATCAAAAGGGAACAAACAAACGCTGTAGTTTGACAGTTTCAGAGAATATTCTTCATACGAGGGGCTAAGAGGACAAGCACATAAGTGTAGTTTTTACTATTTCGAGAAAAATGTGTTTGAAGTTCCTAAGTTACTTGGATCCTTATGACAGAGAGAAAGTTCAAACTGACTTTTAGATGCTTAAAAATTGGAATTTGGGAGCGAATTTTTCACAGAATATGCAATAAGATTAGTTTTACTTGACATCATTGATAACTCAATTTTTTCAAAAACTACACTTATGTGCCTTGTCCTCCAAGCCTCTCATATGATATGAAAATCCGCGGAAGTTTCCAAGACAAGAAATAATGTTGACTATTTTTTCATTTTAAAAATAAAATATGACAGGAAGTCTGAAATTTCGCAATTTAAGATGTGCGTTTCTGCAATTTCACCTTTGATATGTGACAGTTCTTGTTAAAAGGGACTTTAGTCAACGAAGACCGACTTTGTGGTAGGGCAAATTTTGTCCAAGTAGAACGTATTCTTAGTTTGTTTGACAACAGGCCTGCGTACTGTTCCATCACAATCAGGAACTTTTGCAGGAAAATGCAAGATCAGAATCTCAAATGGCTTTTCCCCGGAACTTCATTTTTTGAACATCAAACTTAAAAATAACTCCTATTTGGTTTGTCATTTTTAAGCATTTTTGAGTCTACATGTTTGTAGAAAACTCCTCCAAGCTCCATTATGGACAACTCAAATTTGACTTTATTGGGACTCAGGTCTCTTTTCCCATAGATCATTACTCACGTTGTTTATCTCCGTCTTACTATTATAATAGCATTACAGCTTTTTTTTAACTACCATTTTACAAAAAAAAATGTTTTAACAGAACCAGATTGGTAGTAACGCTAGTGCAGATAGGTTAATTTGGTGAGGATATTTAAATTATACTTATTCTAATTCTACGATTATTCTGTGATGAACAACAATTAAATGCATAAATAAAATAGAACAACAAAACTACAGCAACTTAATGAGTTAAACAAATCTCAACGGCGCAATCTATCAAGCTATGTGAGTGTTATCTGCATATGTTATTTGGTACAGGCCTTTCAGGAGGGATTTTAGAAAAGAAAAAGCAGGAGATGCTTTTGAAATACCCTTCATAGCTGCAAACTAATTTTTGATTATTGAAAGGTCATCTCCCCTCTAAATTCATAATGAAATTTGACATTTCAATGGGTGTTAAGCCTAACTTTTGATAAAGTTGGAGAGGTAATGTTATTTTTGCTCTTCTTGCACTAAGGGATACAGTGATACTATTCATTTTAAATTCAGTTTCTGTAAACTATAGGTTAAACACGTATATAAACAGTTTTGAAATGATCCTGCAAATATATTGAAGGATTATCATCATAATCCAAATGATAATGGACATTATCCCATTTGTTGTTTTCAATGAAGTCTGCCTCAATGACATAGTCCATCTAACTTTTATTTTTAGTATTATATAAAGGTCATTGGACTAAAGAAAAAGCAAGAATTAAATTGAGTTTGCCTGAACAATACACGTTGAAAGTATTAAGTGTTTTTCATTCCACTGTTAACCAGTTTTTTTACCACTAGCCGATTGCTCCTATTTTTGTACCCGCATAAAAAAGAGGGAGTAAAACATAAGAGCTAACTTTGATCAAGCACTGAGTCAAGGATGCAGAATATGCCCACTCTTGTGATCCTAGGATTGTGGCAAACATGAAGCTAATCATGATTTGTTAAGAAAGAGGTTTAATATTTTCAAAAGGGAGGATAATTGCTTATTTTACTGTACGGGTAGGCATTTTGTTATTAGATTAGACATTTGATCATGAGGCAAAAACCAGAACCGGATTGCCGCTAGTGGTCGGCGGTTTGGAATAAAAAAAACAATAAACAAGAAATTTTTAGACTTCGTTTTGGCGGTTTGCTTATGCGCTGCTGCAAAAATCCAGTGCTTTGTTACATGAAAAGCAACATTTTATGTTCTCAAGACAATAAAAATACAGTGAAAAAAATTGCAAGTTTTGAAGTAAAAACTGAGAAAAATAATAATGACAAAAGATCAAACTGTCAACTACTAAAAATGCTTGCAAGAATTAAAGTAGTAGCTCATTCAACGAAAATAAGTTAAGATTCACGACTGAACATTCAAGCAAATTCTAATCGAAAAGAATACCTTTGGCAAATATTTATCCAAAAGCTAGAATGAAACAAAAACAAGTTTAGAAAATTAGAAACACATTAATGTAAAAAAGTATGAGAAATTACAAACTGAACTTTTGACGAGAGACTATACTGAAAATGCAATAAAGATTGAATTCATCTGAAACAGTTTGAACTCTTGAAAATCTGACACATTTTCATTACATAAAATTCAATTGCCAAAATTCATACATAAATAAATATAAGAAAAAAGGAAGATATCTCAATAGAAGCTGCCAGAGAACCATTCTTTGCCATTTCAGATGCTTAAGAGAGAGTAATAATTCAAGTTGTCTACAAAATTTTAAATTGGTAACAAACATTTCCTTGACTTTTCCAGGTTTTTTCTGATTAAAATTTTGAAAATTCCCTAATTTTTCTGATAGCCGATTCACTTACATAGAGCTAAAAATTGAGGATGTTTGGTATAAATATCACTGCAAATGACAGAAACAAGTTATCCTTTTTTTCTTCAGGTATTAATAATTCAATTGACTAAAATTGCAATTCTTCATTGAAAACTATCCCTCTGTTCATTTTCAAAGTGTAAATTACATCATGGAACCCTGGTCCTGTTTAATTAGGTGGGCAGTACTGACTTTTTTCAGGTTTTCACATTTCCAGTCTTTTATCTGAAATTCCCTGACTTTTCCCTGATTTCCCTGACCATATGAAATTCCTTAACAATCTCCGTTTTCTAGACGTTCAGACACCCTGTATTTAATCTATAACAAGTTTACTGCCAAGCCATTCATAGTGACCATTTTTCTCTGGCTACCCCAGGCCAAAACCATCATGGATCTGAGTAACCCATGTTATGTGCAACAGGTTTTCATCATGCTGCTGTACAATAGAGGCACTGTTAGCATCCATGGAACTCATTTTTGAGTACTAGTTGGACTGCGTTTGACAGAAAGGAACCAAGCCACATCAACTATTGCCAAATTTAATTGGGCAATTTAATTTCATACATGAACGTGGTTGTGCGGATTTGTGTGCAAATTTCAGTGAATTTTTTTCTTAGTGCGAGGCAAATTCCTTAAAATTTTCAAAGGAATCCGTACAAACGTTCTCATGTAAAAAATTAAATTGCCCAGTTAAATTTGGCAATAGCTGATGTGGCTTGGTTCCTTTCTGTTAAACGTGGTCCAGTTAGCACAAGTTTGTGACTGATGGGTGGCGACAGCGCCGGAACGATTAATTGTTGTAACCTTAGATTGAGGACTTCACATTTACATAATACTGCTTTACAAATCTGTCATAAGTATACTTGAAAGATAATTATGGAACTATTAGTCACTGAAATCACTCCTCTTTCTCTATCACTGTCTGTATGCACAATCATGAGGAGAAAAGATAAAGCTGAAAAATTACCTGAGTGAAATTGGCCTCCAAGGTCAGGTCATGTAAGTCATGATACTTCTTTAAAAACTCACGGCAGACTCTTTCCGATTTGCATTGTTGGAGCTTCTCAATAATGTTTGACCTGGTTTCCTTCAGAGCTGTGTACCATAAATACTGATACATATTAGAAACAATTCGAGTACTCTGATAAAGTGACATAAACTTTTTTATTTTTTTATTTAGCAAGCTGTTTATTGTGTACAATCATACATAAAGAAACTGTAAGACATAGTAAAAATTACGATAAAGTGACATAGAACACCAACATTTTTCAACATTTCAGAGTTTCCATCACATTTTGCTTTTTGCAAGATAACTTATCATTGATACACATAAAAGCAATTGGCCGATTTCTCCACCAAGTTTAAATAAAAAAAAATGTAGGAGGCATAGCCAACAATCCTTTGTCAAAACTTCTATGCAGCTGTACACTGAGCAACAACAAAATTCGAGATAATAAGCTGATCATAGAGTTAGTTGGCCCTATATAGGCACAAAAATAATGATTTTTCAATTTTTTATTAATCGCCCACCTGCAGATGGGAAAAGCTACTGAGGAGATCAAATTAAAATTTTAAAGCTTGGTTACACCAAGTTTAAATTAAACTTTTAAGACCAATCCTTTCACCAAGATCAGCCTTTAACCACATTCCATCTTGAGAATAAGGGAAGTATAATTATGATGGTCAATTAAGTATAGAATTTTCATGATGCTTTACTGTAAAACAAAAATAAAGCATTAGAAAAAAAAACAAAGAGGCAAGAAGGCAATTTACCTTGATCAAGTTGAAGCGCATTGTCCTGCAAGGCTTTCGTTAAATTATCGATTTCCCTCAGATCATTCTTTATGATGCCCAAGCCAGAGACAATGTTGGTTAAATTTACGAGCACACTAGCTTTTGACACCTTTCCAAGTTTGTCTTTCACTATTTGTCCGCTCGCTGAAAAAAATAAAAAAAAATTTTGAAGTCTGACACAAATATGTATAGCCTTACATAAACATTAGTCTTACAAATACGGTCTAAATATAGTCTTTACAATATAGCCAATGTAACTTACCACCAATCACCTAATTTTTTCTCAAACTCACATTATGAATCCCTTAAAATGCTGTTTAAATTTCCTCTCAGATCAAGAGTCTGCATTCAAAATCACCCATTATCCCTCCTAATTGTTCATTTGGCTGAGAAATGAGAAAAAAAAAACTATAGTAGCGAGGGATGATAACAAAATGAAGACTTAAGTACGAGTAAGAATTTCCTAAGCCCTTTTACCAATTTACTTCACAGAAAAAAATAGAGATAGAGATTTTAGACATTTGAATAATCTGCACCTCAGGGTGGGTAAAAACAATCTTTTTTTGTGTTTTAACCGAAATGAAGCATCAATAATGAGCCATGAACAGGCATGATAGTAAATAGGCTCCTCACTCATAAAATTTCAAATCTCTGTGCCAACTCTGACATAAATTCCCAGGCACTTCAGATTAAATCACGATGCTCATTTTTTGGAAAATTTGAAAAAAATCCACAAGGAGCTTGAGAAGTTGCAGAATTTTGGGTGGTACATATTTCAACAAGTTACTTATACAAAAAAAGGAATACGTTGAGAATAATGATTTTTTGCCCTTAAAACAGCTCTTCATGCCACCTAATGGAATTTTTTTTGGATATGGATGAGTTATGTTGATATGATGCTCCATTCCTCATTAAATCAATAAGTTGCTTCCGCAAGGCCAAACAAGTTCATCAGTTTTGGCGTATTTTGAATATTTTGCCACAAATCACAAATTAAGATGGCGCAGAGGTCATGCTTCCAGCCGCAAAACTGCCATGGAGTTGTCATTAATGTCTTATTGTGGCAGCACTTCCAGCAGTTCGGCTCAGTAGTGTGCCTGTAACAGCAATGCTGCCTGACCTTTGTGCAATTTATATTTGTGATTTGTTGCTAAACATTTTCAGATATATTAAACCTAATAAAATTTTTGCCCTTGACACCACAACTTGTAGACTTCATGAGGAATCATGAGGAATCATGAGGGTGTAATTTGTGTAAAATTTGTCAAATTCTTCCCACAACAAGGCAACAATGGTTGTTATCAACATATTCCTGCTTCTGAACGTCAAAACAATTGGAATTTTGGGTCAAAGGGTCATAAGTAACTCTTTGAATTATTTGTTGATCAACTTTTACAGAAATTGCTTACTTTGATTTTTACTGCTTTAAAATTCCAAAACTTTAAATTGGTGAAAGAGTGGGCTGAAATTTTATACACATGTATTTTATTGCATTTGATGCATGATGATATTACAGTCAAGACAAGAAAAAAAATATTTCAAACCACTCTTCTGGGCTTCTCTTTATCTTAAACTGTATAAAATTCGAAAAAAAGTGAAAGTAAGAGGAAGAAAATATTTAAAGGGCAAACTTTGGCAAAAGTTAACAAATTGAGACCACTAACCCTGCAAAATATTATTCAAGGTATGGTCCAGCTCATTGAAATTCACTATAAGCAAATTGTTGATTTCCTGCAAGCAAAAAAACACAACTTGAATTAATTATTGGGCAAAACGAGCAAGGTGTCATCAACTTTGATAGCGGGTATATTCTCATCAGGCAAAACGCGTCATTTATCTAGAACCGAAGAGTAGAAACGTTTAGCCACAACTGACAACACTTCTGATATTTCAATGGAGATGTTGCATGTGTGAGGGATTTGCGATTTGACAATTGATTCGTATGTAAAAGTTTAAGTTTATGCAAAAAGTTAAGGGAAATTCTCTCTTAGAAGATAGGATTCCTTTTCACAAAAACAATCACACATTTAGATCTACTATTGATCTTCAATTTTAATTCTGGTTTGCAGTTTTGTTTGATCCCACTCCTTTTTCTAGTCGTGGTTTTTGTGTTACATATTTAGTAAATTTGATATTGCTGCTTTTGTATTCTTGAGTATAATTTATTAGTATCCTGTTGAGCTATACCTGTGCTTTTCTGAAATAGATAAATGAATAAAAACATGTGTAACCATCCAGAATTTTTAGAAAGGTCATTAATAGAAACTGCTGATTGTCAGCGTAATATTTCCTCTGTGAATGAACTCCTTTTCAGGGAGGCAAGGATTCAACAATTCTGAAAAACATAATTACCAATTTCGTGTTGTTAATGTACAAGTCTACATCGTCTAGAGATGTGCGAACGTTTCTCGGGAGATTTTTCAAACCATCTTGGAAGAATTCATTCGTGACGAATGCGCAAACAACACCAAACCTGAGGAGAAAAAATTTCGTCAGTTTAAAATATGGATGATTGTTGGCATCATAGATATGTAATGTACATGAGCTCGTGCAAATCATTTACAGATACTGCAAGCAATTTGAACTAAAGAGCAATTTTCGTTAAGTTGAGTTGGCAGTTCTAAATTTCAGTTTCTCTCTGGTGACCCATAGAAAAAGTAGCTAGTACGTAAGTAGTATTGTTCATTATTTGGCAAATGGGGAGTGTAAAGATACAATAAAAATAATTGCTTGTAAGTGAGCAATTTTCCTAAAAAAAAAAAAAAAAAAAAAATTATATTTCACAAAACTCATTTTTGGTTGGGTCCCAATATATTTAAAAAATGCAGTGTCATTCATATAAGTATGTCTTACTTTTTTTACAGTTTATGCATAGGACTCGGGTAGGTTAAAGTTCACGGCGAGTACTCATTGAGCTTCATAACAGATAATATTTTATACATTATGTAAACATTACACATTATACATTATGTATTAATATTTTAAACATTATTTTTCTGGCGAAGATCAGCCGGAATCTCGAGGAGAGATCACGTAAGGAACGAAAGAGTCCGTGAGATCATGAACGCCGAGCAGAACATTGTGCATGAAATTATGACCAAACAGCTTGTCTGGTATGGTCATGTTCAACGAATGGCGGATGATAGGTTGCCTAAGAAGGTGCTAGTTTGGGTTCCTCCTGGGAGAAGACGTAGGGGACGCCCAGCAAAATCGTGGATTGGTGGCATTCAAGATGAAATCACAAGATGCCATCTACCAGATGACCTCTGGATCAATAGGCAAGGATGGCGATTAGGTGTCGCAGAGCGCCCGAGCGCGCTGTAAAGCGACTGGAATGTATGTATGTAAACAAATTTTTTTACATGAGATTTTGCCGTAGATAAGAAGAAGAAAAACAGTTATGGGGTACTCACGAAATCAAGACGGTTATTCCAGCCAGAAGTATGCCGTAAGAATGCCTGCGACATGGATCATAGCGTTTCTCAAATGGCTGTGAGCGAGAGCCGCACTTGCCAGCGCAGCGGCAACAACAGAATAGAAGTCCAGCGATGGGCATGACGATAATAAACACGAGAGCACCAAGTATTACTCCCAGCACTGGTCCATAGTGTGTCAACAATGTCTTCCATTCTTTCCGAGCATCTGCCACTTGAATTGAGCGGCCATCCTCGCTCACAGAGATCAATCCTAGATGATAAAGAAAATTATAAAAATAAAATGATAGGCAAAATAATCAACAACTGCAAAACCTGAGCAACAAAGTAGACTGATTGAGCAGGGTGAAACTTGCATCAAGTAAGTATGTTAGCAGTTGTTTACTTTTGACTGTCATGCACAAAGAACCATTTTACTTGCTTAGAACAGTATCATTGCCAGCAGTCAATCTTCAATCAATATTAGATGATAGCAGAGCAGGCACTTCCAGACAGAAAGTAGATTCCTGCTAATTTACTTCATTTGAGGACTACGAAACATTACTTTGTCAGTTTAAAATAATTTACTCATAACGCACTTAATGTAGAAACATACCCTGACCAGATTATTTCAGAGACTCCTGTATCCTTCTCAAGTTCTGGAATTCTCGAGAAGAGAGGGACAGACTGCCTTGAAAAAGTGGCATTTTTTCTTTGGACTTCGCCAATTATTTACGATTTGCGTGCGACTGTCCATTAATGATCAATCAGGGTTTTAAATGATCATGTGAGTGTCCTTTGGGTTACAAGATGATTCAACATGACAAAATTTTCACCCAGCAGTTCTGATAGACTGCTAGCTGTTCCACCGTATTATTGGGTTTCGCAAGGAAGTAATTGCGTCTTCTTGGGAATGGTATATAAGACAGACAATTTTACATAATTTCAGCAAGAAAATAGTGAAAATATTAAAGGGATCAACAGATTCAATGGATTCAACTGAGCACAATCTCCAGGGAGCAGTTTGTAACTCCAGTCCGGTAACTTCACGCGCGTCAATTAACGGGGTCAATCCTCGTTACAAATTTGGCATGGCTAAATAATTAGCCTGATTATTCATTCAATCCGTTCTAATTTGGCTCTTATTACGTGTATTATTTGGTGAATATATTTCCTGTCAAGGTTTCCTTAATATGTGTGGTTCATAAAGAATAGCACGAGTGTTATCTCACCTTCTGGGAATGCTTGATCTTCCTGAATAGTGTTGATGATTAGATTCGTCAGATAATACAGATGACCCATTCCTTTGGCGTAGAACTTTGTAGAGCTGTGATAGTTACTCGAAACATTCGCAACGCTGTACTGCACCTCTTCGTACGGCATGATGTTGTGGAGCGATTCGGAGACCCCATTTTCCGAAGACTGCGAGACTGTTGGATCTTTCAAAGGTACCCAACTTTGCTGACTTTGTCTAACCACACAATCCGAGGGTGATGATATAACACCGAGAATAAAAATGACATATGAAATCATTTTCCCTTTACCTTGTAACCAAGGGGCACTAAAATTTAACACAGCCATGAATAGCACAACTTGAATCTAACATAAGTAATATTGCTCGCTTCCGAAAAAAAAAAGAAGGAAATTTGCACTAGGTTGCGGAGAAAGACGCAAAACTCAGAAAATCTTGGGTAGGAATAAGGGTGAATCGCGTTCCGACATTGTGATCACCGTCGCGAAACATGCAGCTTATCGAATTTTTGAGGTAACATCACGGCCAAACAAAACAAAACACAGCTTGAGGAGCGACCACTTATCTATCATCCGTGCCCGAAGCTTTCAATCGAAAGTCCGTCGATCACTCACATCGCGACAAAAGTACCTCCCGAGAAATTGGCACAATCCCTACATTTGACTACATTCGCCCCAATAACAAAGAAATAATTAATAATATTATGTACTGTTATTCGGAGACGAGGGAAGGGGAGCAGGGGGCCTCGCGAATCACCAATGAATCATGAACACAAAGCAAATCAGGGATATAAAACAAGACGAAAGCAAGATAACAACGACACCATCTTCATGACGTTATTGAAATACTTGCTTGCCGTGATTACGTCACATGAGAGTCAGCTGGCTCATCCAATCTCGACTTGGTGCGAGAGTGTATTGCCTAGTGGGTTGCTATGTGAAATGTGAATATGCATTCAGGACATGCACTAATGGAAATTTACTCAGTCAAGTTATGATACATATCAAAGATTGATTCATTAAAGGAGGATGCTGTAAAACATGAGACCAAATATTTGCCCGCAGAATTCTTCTGCAGCAGAGAATTTTAGGTATTCTGGACGAGGCTTATATCACCCCCTCCCCTCTAAACTGCCTTAATTTTTTTTAATCAAACCCTAGGTTGCCGCGGTTGTATAAGTGAAATGAAAAAAAAACCGGCGCTCCGCTTCGCTCCGCGCCGGTTTTTTGGGGGGGGCTTCGCCCCCCCAAGCCCCCCCAGGACGCGCGCTTCGCGCGCGCTTTTTAGTTTGAGTGTCCATTCCAGTTGTTCTGTCTTCTTAAGCGACCCGCGCGTCCACCGCGGGAAGAGTGTATTTTCCGAAGGGGAGGGGGGATCAATCTGTAAGGGAATGAATTAATTTCTTGAGCACAAGATATTAGTTGCGTACGTTGCCAGCGAACGCGCTGCGAAAGGTTGTGACGGTTAAATGGTGAGATTTTGTTCAAGAACAGATCATTTAACCTGACCCACTGTGCGACGAACAATTTTTCCAGAATCTTCCTTCCCCTGACCCACTGTGCGACGAAAAGTTTGTCCAAAAACATCTCTCCCCTGACCCACTGTGCGACGATCAGCTTGTCCAAAAACTTTCTCCCCCGACCCACTGTGCGGCCCTGCTCCGGCCGGCTCCCCTCATGCCGCGCACCCCTCGCCTAAAACTTTCAAAGCTCGCCATTTTTAAACGGCTCGGCCGATTTAGCTCAAATTCAATACCAAACCAGTCCTAGGGGAGAACTACCACCCGTAAAAATTTCAGCTCAAAATATTCATTTTCGCTCAAGTTATCGAGTGGACAAGATTTGACCTCCCCCCACTTTTGAGCCCCACCCCTCAAAATCTTTTGCCTCAAATTTCAATTTTTTTTCGCAGAATAGTAGTTCTAATGAATCTCTACTAAATGCAAAAAAATTGGTCAAAATATCTTTCAACGTAAGAAAGATATAACTACTCAAAAATCGAAAAATCTTAAAAAGGCGGAAATACATACATACATACTTATATACATACATATATACATACATATCTATACACATGAATTTGAATGGCATATATTTTCGTGATCTACGACCCGTGATCGGTGCTCTTCACAATGTCTCAGGTCTGGATTCGACATCATGGGAGAATGCAATAGTGTATTTCCTTCGGAAAATACACTAATAAGAAAGATTGGATATTTCCATGCAATACTTCATGAAAAGCAAAGTTGTGAAAAATATGAAACATATTTTCAAAGGGTGGGTATGCAACATGCGACAAAAAACACCAAAGAGCAAATACCACTCGCCTTTCCTTTAATTTTGCATTTGATTTGGAAAGATATTTTCTCAAAATCACTCATATTTTTTTAAATTTCATTAAATATTTCACATTAAATTTCAAGATTTTATTTTCCAAGAAAAATTACAACCTTGAGGTTCTCCAGTCTGCATGATGAAAAAAAAAGAAAGAAAAAAAAAGGGTACATATTGACCAGAAGTTATTTTCACTCAACCCAAACAGAGATTAAAAACTGAAATTTTACTAATTGTTTCAGCATTTTGAACTCTCTTATTACTTTTCATGTTTGTGACAAAGAAAATTATACTAAAAATCCTCAAATGAGCTTGTTTAGTAATTTGTAATTCTTGCATTTTTAAAAACTAGAGAATGCACATAGTTCACAGGAATTTTCCCCAATTTTTTGGAGCAATATTAACCTACGAAATACGAGTTCAAAAATGCAAGAATTACAAATTACGGAACAGGTTCATTGGTGCAAACTTGGCTAGTGCCTTGTTGATTAAGGGGATACTTTTTCCTTGATTGTGTACCTCTTGTAATGTCTGATAATAACCCAGCGACATGGTGAAACTTTCATGATCGATGAGTAGCTATGCATTGTTAAAAATTATCCTCTGGAAACAGAAATCAAACCTATACCTCTAGGTAGAACTGACTCGACTTTTTTACAACATCTCTGATGAGAGGAGGAAGAAAAATAGATTTGCCTTGTTCCTCTAAATTCTCTTTCTCTTCATCTTCATTCTCTTCCTCTAATTCCTGTTCCTCTGTATCTTCCTCTTCTCTTTATAATGCATTCTTATCTGACATGTGTTAGAAACTCTAAGGACTAACAAAGATTAACCTCAAGTCGGTCAAACTAGGATTAAAATTTTCATCAAACAGTTACTGCTGCAGTCATATTTTGCTTTGAATTTGCTGTTGCTACAGTGGCTAATAATATCTGGGACCACAAAATGAGAAGATGTTTTTGCGTCCATTTACAACAATATGAGTGATCAAAATTGCGCAGTTTATAATTTTAAGAGAGCAAAGTTACTGATACTTATGCTCCGCGGATGAGGCATACATAATTTATGAAATTGATACATTGACTACCAAGTTGGCATTTTTAATTGTCTCTTCATTCTTCAAAATATCTGGGTAATATTTCCTAATCTATTTTTATCCATTAGTTACCAAGTAACTCTAATATATTTATTAAAAGATCATTAAAAAGACGCTCTTGACACTTGGATAAGTTTATTTCATTTTTCAAAAGGTAAGAAATTTTTCATGACTAAAAAACTAACTGTACATAAAACTTAAAAATTAAAAAATCAGTAACAAACAACTATTCTATTGCTACTTCAGCACCAACTTTCTGGAGGGCTTCTTTCAATTTCTCAGCATCTTCTTTTGGAAGGTCTGCTTTAACGACCGCAGGTGCTGATTCCACAAATTTCTTGGCCTTTAACAGAAGTAAAAAAAAAGGAAACATTAATATTTGACAAAAAAAGTCACTGGAGAAAAAATTAAAAATACAAAAAAAGTTTTCAGTGCAAATGAAAACCTTTCTTTCAAAACTTCCTAACTCCCTACACTTTAGACATTGAAAAGTCTTGTCGGACTCAATTTTAAAAGGGAAAAAGAGTCAAAATTATAAGTTTAAAATGCTACAGCCCTTTTTTGATGTTCACCTCCTGTCTTGAATACTAGTTCACTGATTTACTTTAAATTGTTTTGTCATTGAAAAGAGGCAGTACCTGCGTTCTTTGGTTTTTAATTTTTGAGACCGACGTAGCAAACTTGTTACACCAGATTGAAAATTTTAGAAAAACAGCCCTTCACTGACAAAGTTTGATAGATGGTGAATTCTTTTTACTCAACCAATAATGAAACTGTATTTCCCGTTTTTTTCTTTTTTTTCTGAGGGAAAAAATTCGCTTTGAGTGCCACCCAACAGGAGAGGTGCCGAAGCACCACCCCATGAGAGGCGTCCAATTGTATACCAGCACGGTAGCAGCCATTAGCTGTTGAACGGCCGCCAGGGCAACCCTTAATCAATCCAGTCTCCAGGGCTGCTATAATCCGGTTATGTGGGGTTGGTAGACGCTGCAGTGTCCTGCCTCACTTAACAACCTCTCCACGTCACACCCTACACAAGTGTTGCTTGTTTGGCACTCTATTCTTCCATTGGCTGTCCCTAAAGCACTCTTCAACGGCAGATCCCGACACTGGGCCCCGTGGAGTCAGCGCCCCCCAGTCTTATTTTCTTTGGGCCTGGATAGATCTCTAAAATGACTAGAAAATTTGGAGAAGCGGCGGATGAAAGTGTGGTATAGATGATTTAAATGTACCACAGTTGCTTACACGTCAATGGCTTTTGTTTTCCATTTGAACTAATTAGAACTTGAAGTGACTGGTCTGTCTCCCCCTTTGAGATAAGAACACTTTCAATCAGCGCTTGAGACTATTGACTTAAACATCAGCAAATTTAATACCATTTAAGAAAGCAGAAATGTACAGCATTTTGACTCACTAACCATTAGAATCAATATCGCCACCTTTTACACCATTAGCTAGAGCAAAGAAACATAACTAAATTTACTTTTTTTTGGAAAAAATTCTCCTATGTTATTCTCTAGGGCTGCTTTGCCTGTAAAACTGATACACATACATGACCAGCTCACCAGCTCACTTTTGCTAGCTTCAAAAATTCCAATAGCTATTAGTAAGGGTCTTCTTATCATTCCTTCTTTTTCACAGAATAGTTTTGATAGCTTAATGAAAACCGACGGGATACCCTTAATTTAAAAATGTAGCAACACCCCTTCAAGCTCAAGCACAAGCACTAACACTATAGACCTGACTTTCGAATTTCCATATCTATTGGGAGAAAGAATGAACTGACTGACCTGGACTAAGTTCATTCCTTCTAGAAGTGATTTTATTTCTTTGATTAGGGATACTTTCTGCTTCTCATCATACTTCACCAATTTAACTTTGAATAGCATCTGCTTTGTTTCAACAGGTGCCTCTTCCTCTTCTTCTTCCTGTAACAAGTAAGAAAATAGCATTAGAGGTTTGAAAATAGAATATATTTGACACAGACGGTAAGGGAGCAGAATATCATGGGATATTCTGCAAAAATTCCAGAAAGAGGAAATCGAAATTTCATTTAAATTTCAAGCTGCAATAAGGAACTAGCTCAGAAAAAATTTGGTGCCGGCTTAATTTTGATTCTAGGTATTTGATATGATGTTCCTTACAACCTTCTAAGCCTTAAAGTTTGATGCTTCAATGTGCCATTGTAAAGAAAAGCAAGGCTGAAAAGTGCACTTTCACTGCCTTTTTTTCTGGTGGAGATATAGACTTGTTGTTGTGTACATTGTGGATGCTGTGCCCCATGCCATCATCACTCAGAGGAATTTTTTTTTCATCATCATTCTTACTTCCCTAGTCTGCGAAAAAACAAGAGCTTTCCTCAATCACCACTAAGATGTTGCAACAGTTCTATCAGATATTGCATGTAAAAATAATGAAAAATTCACTTTTCAGCCCCTCTACTCTCGAGATTGTTACATAGGAAGTTCCATTTTAAAATCTCAATGTGCTTGGGAGGCTGTTGGGAACATTATAGCAAATGGTATCAAAAAATAGCAGGCGCCAAATAACTCAGTATTTGGTAGTCCTTTCCAACTGACTCATCTTAATCATTCAAAAAGATGAGCACATAGAATAATGGAGAGAAAAGAAATCATCACTTTTGAAAATTGCTTCACTACCTACCAAAAATTTGGCTTCTGTTTGCCTGGAACCACTGATTGCGACTTCAGGCATTTTTGAACCTCTGCTCTGGTCCACAGAGGAACAATTTAAACCTCAAATGATCGTTTATTTAAATCATTTAGTTAAGGACTACAAACATTCAAAGAGTACAAGGTTTACCTTTGGCGCAGCAGCTTGTGCCATCATACCAACTGGCATCATTGGGGCATCAGGTAAATTCAGGCGCTTCTTCAATGCTCCACTGAGCTCCGAAACTTCAAGTAGATTTAACTGGGAGATCTCAGACACTAACTTTTCTATTTTTGGGGAAACACTTTCATCGCTTTCTAGTTTTGGAACTGGGATGGCTGCTGCTGCACTGTATTGAGTTGAACTACAATGGGAAAAAAGGAAGAAATTGATACAGCTTAAATGCTAAATCAAAGAAATAAATAAGCACTTGCCAACAAAAAAGTATCAGATTACAAATTCAAGGCCAGAATCCCATGACCCATAATTTGAAAGTTGACTCTTGAATGAGATAATATTAAGAATTTTTAGTATATTCATACATGGTAACATAAGTTATGTAGTATTCAAAATTTATTACCAAGTGACACATCAAAAGTTCCATCAGGCAAAAGTTATCACTTGTACTGTGGCCAATTAAGTGACCAATGATGATTGTTAAACATATATATCTTATTTGGGAGTTAGATAACAGACTTCCTGTTGTGTGATTCGTTTTCCTTGTGAACTCTTGTGCCGAAAAAATGTAGCATGGAGCTATGATTTATACCTCGTTTGGTGGCCCATTGCGGGTTCTCAACAATCTTCTATATGATAAATGATCAGTTTTAGCTGTGTGTTACAAAATAGATCTTTCAAACACTCGCAAGTTTGTAACCATTTATTAACAAAGTATCTTTGCTGGATAATTTAAGAAACTTGGCATAGGCTAAGAACTTGACCCCTGGGGGTCCAACCAGGGACTCAGGTGCAAAGGCGCACATTCTACTGTGAGGATTCACTCCCACAAACAGAAAAAGACTACAAAGTACATCAAGATTATAGCTTTGGTGATTTTTTCCAGAAAATCCGAGCATGAATAAAAGTGTTGTCTAGCGTGACAATGCGTAGAAAACTAAGTTTTGAAATCCATTTTGAAAAAGATTGAAACTTGAAAAAGAGGATAAGCATGCTTACCTGCTGGAGAAGCTTTTCCATAAAGTGGAGTTCAAGCATCTCATTCTCCTGATCCCGTTCATTTTTAAAATTGGTCAGACGGATAGCGGCTCACTGAGGTAGGAAAATGATCAATGAACTGGGTGGCTTTCCTGCAAAATTAACGACCAAATAATTGAATGCGATGGACAGGAGGAAAATTATACAATTGAAAAATTCACAAATACCTCACTTTGACACGGGTAATTAGAATTTAGAATATACAAAGTGTGGAAGGCTTTGAACTTTTATCAGTAGACAAGAGTTTTTCAGCGATTCTAACCTCAAGGCGGCGTGGTAGCAACAACAAGAGGGCGGCCGCGGCTTTGCTGCTGATTAGTGATTACGTCATTTGCGAAAGCTGCTGTTGTCACTGTCGTCATCGGGGAAACCGCCATCTTTTTTCATGTATTGTTTACGCCCTCTCCTGATCAACGAAGTCTGCCTTGAAAAAAATTTCCATGTGCTGATCGGACTGCCGTCGTTTCTCATGATTAGCATTTTCCTCTCCGTACCCACCGCTTATTTCTGAATCTCAGAGTCGTCACGATTCATTAAGGACCGGATCAGATCTCATTATTTGTTTTAACGAGCGAGTTCAATCGCGTGTGTCTTCGCCCCGTCGCTGTGTTTATTCTGCAACTCACCGTGTTTTTCGACACTCCGCGCTCCTTATCGACATTATCAACTCTTGTTATCAGTAGAGAATGCACCATCCTCGATGACTTCATACAGCTTAGTTGATCCGCCCAGAGGTAAATACAAGTCGTCTTCATTAAATTACTTTCGAATTAGACTTTCTAACGCTTGCAGCACCAGTCGACTAGGATCATGTCATAATTATCGACAAATTGCACGATTACTCTCCGATCTAAATTTAGCCAAATTTCATCTCCTCCATTCTTCAAAGGAAACCATCGACATGCAGACTTTAGTTTTCTTATGTAACTTTACATTTGTGCTAGAAAAATAGAGGAAAATTTATGAAGGTTGTCCATTATCGGTTCTTATCCAATAGTTAAACTCAAGAAGAAAATGCTCACCTCACATGATGAAAGAGATTTCGGAGGCTCTGACTACAAATGTTTCAAATATATTTGAAGCTGTTGGGATTCCCGTGTTTTTCACTTTAATCTTAACTGTCAGTGACTGATAAATTCAGTGAGCGAAATAGGTATAGCATGAAATTCTATCGTCATTGAAGTAAATTGAGTTAAGAGAGTTTTCTAGATTGCATAACACTAAAGTTTAGAATTTAGGTTCCTTTGCCTTCTGACGGAACCGCTCAAGCAGATAAAAATCTTCTCCCCCTAAAAGTCATGTCCTGCCTTGCTGAACAACTCCCATTCCCTCCGATACTTAGATTAAAAATTAGCGTTTTTTGCTGATGTTTATGCAAAAACCATCCTTCGGTTGTTTCGGAGAAAATTTGATACTTCAGTGTTTTTTGTGCAATATTTTGTTGGGTCAAGGTACCCTTCCCCATATTGTTTAGCTTAATCCTTGTCCCCCTTTACAGGTGCCTACACCTGTCATATAATGGGCCGTCAATAGATGACATGAGGTCAGAGGGGGGCCAGGATTGCCTGACACACACCTCTAAAAGGTGGGTTGAAGGAAGAGAGGGGACCTGACATGAGGGGGGAGGGGGAGAGAAAGGAAAAATAAGTAGCCCCTTACAGCATTCATAGCTGGCCCCCAAGAGACATTACATTATCTTTCCATTTTTTTGCAAAATAATATGGTTGCATAATATTGCTGTGTGCTGCATGGTGTCATAGATCAGTACTGTAATGATGCCATGAAATGACTCAGTACTTATTGTTAGCCATTAAATGAAACTTGACTCTGCACTAGAAATGAACACGTTCTGCCATTGAAGTATTCAAGCACCTATTACATAACCTACACTACTTCATAAGGCAGAAGGAGGATCTGTAGTCAAAGCACTAAAAATCAGGAAGGGAAAGTGAGGCTCAAGTACAACATTCTGCTTCCCAGTTACACCAGAAGTACAACTTCTTGGAGGGAACAAATTTCAAACCTTTTTTTATGTATTTTTCCCCCAAGAATCAAGTTTTTTAAAGTGTACATTCTCCAAAATTTAGTTATTAACTGCGAATTTAATGTATTCATTTTTAGCACCTAACTCGTAAAAATCTGAATTATTAATTATTAGAATTTACTCATTGACTACCTAGATATTTTAAATCTGGTAACGCAATGCTTGAAGTATACCTACGGTTTTGCAGGCGCTTCCCATACATGACCGGATTCATACACAGGCCGTCGAGGTCGCGGCTTGGAGCGGCTATTTTTACTTTCTCGCTCTCCTCGCGGGTAGAGGAAGTATTGTCATCTTTTTTTGGTAATTTGGGGGGGGGGCGAAAAATGTACATGGATAAAAACAAAATTAGGGCGCAGCCGCAATCGTCCTGCCGCTAGAGAGCGGCGTGGCAACGTGGCGATTCAATCCAGAATATGCCTTTACTTCCAATTTTTCTTGTTCAAGCATATTATAATAATTTCTATCATTTCCGTGCAGCATGTAAATCGTCGCATCCGGGTTGGGCCATTAGACAAGATACGAATTTCAATCATTATGATACACATGTTTCTCAACAAAAATTTCACGGAGAAGATGATTCGCGCCGCGAAAACTCCCGTGAAAAAAAATTCTTAGCTAAGAAATTGACGTTTTTATTTCACATTAGTGTTGCGAAATAATCGCGCCCTACGACGGTTTTGGCATGTTGCTTAATCGAACCATGTTCCCTCCCCGCTTTTTGTTGTTCTAAGTTTTAAGATCGTGAAGCAGCTAAACGAAGCACCGAGACTGGGGTTGTCTTTTTTTAATACCGCAGAGACTACAATAGTAACCGTAATGTCTAGTGCATGATTTAACTCACGTAAACGTCTGCTTCTCCTTGAGCGGGAGGTTTTAATTTGCGCATCTAAAACGTTATATATCTTGGTCAGGAGTTAGTTTCAATGATTTTCGTTGCGCGAATTGTATTTTGCGTGCAATTTTGGTCCAGAAACATGTATCTGAATGCTTAAATTATTCATGCAATGTCATCTTCCTCGAAGTCAAAAGAGTTGTATTGTATTACGCGTTTCGCCCATGAAACTTTTTCACTCACTGTCAGCGTTAAAGTCTCTGAGTCAGTAGAAAAGAGTTTAAGTTCTCCTTCATTTCATGGTGACGCATTTTTACCCACTTGCAAGACGCAATAGTTGTATCACGCGTTACGCATCATCCAACTGTTCTACTCCGCGTTAAACTCTCAGTTAATGGAAAAGAATCCAAGCTCTTTTTCACTGTCAAGGATATGCGAGAAAGTTTTGTTGCTTCATAATTGTGACTGTTTATGTGAAAACGTGAAAAAGAACCTCATCTTCCGAAAGAAAATTTCGGAAACTTTTTACTTTGCGCAAGAAACGATCGCGGGAAGCGCCTGCAAAACTGTTAGGATACTTCAAGCATCGCGCCGTTGTGCGATCTCCGATCTCTAGTCTTGCTCTTGACTCGCAAATCGCTTCAAGTTCTGATTTTGAGATGCACACACTATTTGAAAATGCGCGGGGGCAGGGAAAGGCGCATACACATTTGCTTAAGGCGTACAAAAAAATGGAGCGCAATTTGATCAGACTGTTAAAAATGTTGTATCATCCATTATTCAAATTCGTAGCCTACGCAATTGTCCCACTGCTGACACAGTTCGCGAGCGACCCACTTTTCGTTGATCCGCACTCCGCATCCGTGAAAATTCTGCACTCCTGCCGGTGTGTTTGTTACCTATCTGGTGAAATTGAAGCCATGCGTGCTCCTCGGCACGTTTGTTGCCTATGCGGCAAAATTGAAGGCGAACCTCATATGGACGATTCTGTCTTTAGGTTTACGCATAGTTTATCGGTGTAGCTTAATTGTGTTCTCTTTAGCAGAAAGAAATCAAGCCACATTAGCTATTGCCAAATTCAATGGAGCTATTTAATTGTTTACAAGAGAACGTTTGTGCGGATTTTTCATGACAATTGGAATTTGCTTCGCACTATGCAGAAAATTTACTAAAATTTTTTTTAAAAAAAAATAAATAAAAAATAAAATAAATTAAATAAAAATGAAAAAACCCCACACAACCATTTTCATGTATAAAACTAAATCGTCCAGTTAAATTTGGCAACGGCTGATGCGGCTTAGTTCCTTCCTGCTTATCGTGGTCCATTTATAGAGCGAGATTATCGTGTGGTTTTCGAATTGCCTTTCTTCTGATTTCCAATGCGTCCTCATGGGACATACTGTCGCCCTCCTGACATTAGGGCTTATCTGCATTTCTACGTGAATCCTTTTTTACTCATAAATCCTTACTTTCTAGGGTTCATGCGAAAAGGGAGGTGCGCCCTTACGACAGTGAAGCGACAATATGTTAGGAATCATACGACCCGAGTCATCCAGGGTCAGAGAATGGACCACTAGACAAGGTACGAATTTCAGCGTTCTGATACATGTTTCTTAACTAAAATTTCACGTAAAATACGACGCGCATAACGAAAATTACCGAAATCAACTCCTCCCAAAGATATTTAATGATTCTTGATGCGTAAATTCAAACCACCCGCTCATGAAAACTCAATGCTTTACGTGATTCACATCGGGCGCTAAACGTTATCATGACAGTATCATGCGATTTAAAAATCTGGCAACCTCAATTTTGACGCTGTGGCTCAGCTATAGCAAATTGCTTATAGTTTGAACAACTCATGGTGGGAAATGAACATTGCTCGATTGAGAAGCTTGCTGAAACTAGAACCGTTGTAGTGGGCGATTTGACTCACGTAGAGCTTTGAGTTTCTTGTGAGCGGGCAGTTCAAATTCCTCGTAACCAGTGTGAAATAAAAACGCTAATATCTTCGTTAAAAGTTGGTTTCATTAATTTTCGTTGCGCGGATCGTGTTTTACGTAAAATTTTGGTTAAGGAACATGTGTCAGATTGCTTAAATTCGTACCTTGTCCAGTGGTTCATTGGATCGAACTCTTCATATTGTAATAACTGTGTTTTTTGTATGTTGCAGGCGATGAAGCCTCTCGGGAGCAAAAGAAGTCCGACTCCTCATCAGGATCTTCCTGTCGGGGTTGCTTGAAAAGGTAATTGTGTTTAATTTGAATCATTTTATTGACATCGTATCGAAACAACGGCACTTTTGTTCGGGTTCGAACGAAAGTGAAACATATTTGGACCGCGTTTTGCAGGAAGGATTTAAGCCACATCAGCGACTGCCGAATTTAATTGGGCAATTTAATATTTTTTTTCATGAAAACGGTTGTGCGGATTTGTGTGCAAATTTTAGTGAATTTTCTGCATAGTGCGAAGCAAATTCCTTAAAATTTTCAACGGAATTTGCACAAACGTTTTCTTGTAAAAAATTAAATTGCCCAGTTTATTTGGCAGTTGCTGATGTGGCTCAGGGCCGGACTAAGGGGGTGGCCACATGGGCCGCGGCCCGTGGCGGCAAAATTTGCAATCTTTTTGAATGTAGGTATCAAAAAATGATAGGAAACAATCGGATTCAGAAAATAAAGTACAAACGAGAAAAGGCGACAAAATCTCTCATTTCCTGAGAGAAAAAGTATGGTAATTTCTAATTTTGTCGTCTTTCGGTGATGTAAGAGACAACACCTTTAATAATTAGTCGCGTTATGAGAAAAACCAAACACGCAATTTGACCTGGAACGGAGCGGCGCGACGGTCGGCATGAAACACATAGCGCCTACTAGACTGCATGAATACTTCACGCATTGCGTCAAACACACTGCGGTCAGCAGCGATCGGCGTGAAACGCATAGCGCCTACAAGACTGCATGAATACCTCACGCATTGCGCCAACATAGTGCGGTCGGCGCGGCGGTGGAAGTTAAAATTTTTAATCACATTTATGTTAGTTCTTTCATAATTTTTTCGTTCTTTTTTATAAATGGAAGGCCTTGTCCAGACAGGGATGGGTTTACGGAACTGAACTTTTATTAGTTCCCTTGGCGGTAAAAAACTCGTGAAAAATCTGTATCTATAAGGATTTTTTGTTGGCGAGTTAATCGTAAGGGTTCTAGGTGAAGTTGCTGTAGATTTTCAATGATGTGGAATTTTCGGGAGTCATTAGAATTTTTTCCTGTTCAATATCGGGAAATTAAGTTGTAAAGTTCACGCAGTAAAAACGCGCACCCCCTTACCATTGATTTTCATTAGAGCCATACTCACAATCAGCTCTTTTTCCGTAAGCATCGTTGGCTGAAAGTGAAAACGGTCAAAACGCCCGAACGTCCAGTTGAAAGATCAGTGACCGTCGCGTCGTCAGGCCGGCCGTCGCGTCGCGACGTCAGACGTCTCGAACAATAGATAAGACGCGACGTCAGACGTCTCGAACAATAGATAAGAGCAAGTTAGGTATGCGGCATTGCCATTTGTTCATCAAAACCCAACATTAATTCTTTCATAGGGTGCGAAGCAGCACCACTATCATTCTGCCATGTCAAGGAAGAATCCCGTATGAGCATTCGGGTATTGCCTTTTTTATAATAAAGCACTGATTTTCAGACAATATCAGGCTTCTAGTAGCATTTTCAACCCACTGGTAGCCGCAAAAAAAATTATAAGATTTACATTCTTCAGATAGGGGGTATTTTAGAAACAAAGAGGAAAATTTATTTGTGATGGACCTTTCCCTACCTCAATCCGGAAATGACATTCCATTTTTTTTGCAGCATGCAAGTACCTCCTTTGGCGGCCTCGTTAGCAGAACCTCGAGTTAGTCATAATGTAGGCCAGATGTGAAGAAACGTGATAAAGGAGTCAGGGAGTTCTCCCATCCCAGGGAAAGACGGGGGTACTTTGCTAGAAAATTTTTGAAATTTAGGTTCCCGCAAAACGCCATTAATGGGTGTTTTCATGGTAAAATGTCATCTTGTTTCCTTTAACCTCTTGAGATTCCGAGTGGCGGAAATCTCGTCAAAATCAGCGCCTACAATGAGCGAACAGTTTTGTGTCTCTCCAGAGAGCATCCAAAAATATTTACGAGAAAGCTTGCGAAAAGTGCGGGAAAGCTTCTATTTCCTAGAAAGATAGGGACATTTTTCAACGTGAAATGCAGTTACACTAACTCTCTTGGAATCTTGCAAACGGCCTTGACGAGTTCATCTGAATGCTGATACTTTTTCCGCCCGTTAAATTCGACTTTTGTATGCTTGATAGGTTTTAAAGTCGACTGAATTATTTCCACACCCACTACAAATGGAACTATGAAAGACTCCATAGAGAAAAAAAGGAGGTGTTTGCATTTCGGGCATCTTGGAATTTTTTTGATGACGTAGGTCGGTACAGGTACGTTTATCATCGATTTTCTTGGAAATGGTGTAATTTATGGAAAAAAGTCAGTCTATAAAAAGTGCTTGAAATTATATCATGAGTTGATATAAGTAAAAAAATCAGACATTATGGTCCGTTTTTCATATTTCGAATTCCGGATTTCGCTGGCCAGGTTGTACCGACCTACGTCACAGGGTAAAGAAACCTCAAGATGCAAACACCTCCTTTTTTTCTCTATGAAACGGAACTATGAAAGACTCAGGGTCGTGGTCCTATCTCCAACTTTTATCAGTCCATCGCTTTTGGACCCGACGCGCGAATCCTCGCGCGCGGTCGCGTGGAAATCCGGAATTGGCCGAAAGTTAGGCGCCAGTCCGGTCGTCCGCCTTATCAACTTTTCTGATTCCTCGCTGATTCCTCGCTCTCGTTCGTTGTGTTGTCCGGCACTTTGTTTTGATCGTGATATTCGCGTGGCTTCCGTTCGTTTATTTCACTTTTCGCACGGGAGATCGAGATTAGATCCCCGCGTCCGTCGAGTTGTGAGTTTGTGACTCGGTCGCCGCCGAAATCTCCTCATTCACCGATCTCATCGGACACTCAACTCGCGGCCGAGACCCCGGCTCCAGCAGCCAGCCAGCGCGATCAGGAAACCAGTCGCCCTTGCCGCCCGATGGTTCGAACCAGTCCTTGAGTCGCTCTCATTCAGTGGTTACCAGCCAACATGAGTGCTTACCCGCTCCCCGGCGTTTATTTTTTTCTCGCCTTTGCTTTTGTCTCCAGCCTCTACTACTTCCAACTGTGAGTATCCGTGATTTTACCCCTCTCTCTCTCTCTTTCCGTGTGCCGTGGGCGATGATCAGATTGTGTTGGCGGTGTGATGGATTTCAGAGCGAATCTTAAGTGCGGGACAACAAGAAGCTAATTTTCGTCCGTTAACTCGTTACCGAATCTTGTCAACGGTTGACGAAATACGTAACGAAAACATTTTCGCTATTCGTTCGTCATAAAAGGGGCGCGGCCTAGTCTCAAGCAACATCGCCCGTAATTAAACGATAATTTAATTTTCGTCATCAATTAACGGGACCACGTTTGTGAACTTAATGTCGGTCTAGAGGTTATGTTGGGAGCTTAGCGAAAGCTCGTCACCTGATTGGATGGACAAAAGAATCTAATTAAGCAACTGTTGAAGTTAACGATCGAAAATTAGCTTGATGTTCAATTGTTCAATGAAGGAAAAAGAACTTGATTGGAAGACGTATTCTGCGTGACTGCGTGAAGAGCAGTAAATCAAGAGAACTCTTTGTGATTTCGAGAAAAGCGCGTCTTAAATTGAAAAAGCACTTGAAAGTTTATGACTCAAGTCAACTTTGAACTCGAGTATCACAAAAGAAAAGAGGAAGGAAACATATCCGGTTCGAATTGTTCAACCAGTTCCTAAATCGCGTCTCTAGTTCTTCTGTTTACTTTTTTAAACATGACGAGTTTCATCCGAAATGGCTTTAGTTATATCTCTACCTCCTCCATAGGTATTAGTCAACTCTTACATCCATTGTTTACCTACGGAAATGATGATAAACAGGCGCATTGACCAGTTAACCCTAAAAACCATCTTTGTGAAAGAAATCAAACAAATTTTTAATCTGCAGCGGCTCAGAAAAGTGTCATCTACTGATCTCCTTTACAATCTAATCTATTTTTCTGATGGAGTCTGACGAAATGACACTTTAAGTAAACACTTTAAATGTTCAGTATCGCGGAAAAACTGATTTGACTTTAAAAAAAAGTCAATTCTCATTTCAGTTAAAATATTACACTCGTGTCAAGAACATTCGATCAAAATTCCAAGTCATTCTTAACATTAAATATTACTCGTGTTTCAAGCGTTAGAAGTGAATCGTTTTGTAGCTGGCAACAGTGCGAACAAACTTTAACGGCGTTTCTAGAATTCCCTTTTTTGTACCCTCTCTTTCTGAAATGCAATTCATTTTGATATTTTTGCATGTCTTTGATTGATGCTCATGAGGCCATTCATCAGAATTTCGCATTTGTTTTGTCTCGTAAAACGCTTTATTACAACCAAAATCCTTGAGAAGTAGGGGAACGCCCGCTCGCTCCTCTCACAGACGGCCACAACCAGAGATGCAAAATCTAGTGACGTATTATGGAACACTAAATCACAATTCCACAATTTTCTGTGAAATTTGCCGTGAACAATTTTTGCAACATTTGCAATTTTCTGTGAACATTTTGTACCTAGTAACACTCAGGAGGCTGCTGAAATGCCGAGAAGTAAAAACTTCATATAGAGATTTTGAGAGGAAAAGTAACAACGATATAATTAAGAGGCGAATTTCAGTGCTCCGCGTCCAATGCTTTTGAGTTCATTGTGGGTTCCGTTCTCAGTCCCTTAACAATTTTATGTTTTGAAACTCTCTCGGCGAAAAGAAACTTCATTAAATTCACAATGAAATTTCTTCATGCGAAATTTCATTTTGCATCTCCGGTCGCAAGTCGGTCAAGTGCTCTTGTCTAGAGGGTAGGTCAATTGGGATCACCTATTTTGGGTAGGTACCAGGCCTACCGGCTCGCAAAACCAGACACTAAATTAGGCAGTGTTCTCGGCACAGTGGTCCTAGGGATACTTGAAGTTCTATCCCGTTTTCACTACCCAACCAATCGAATCGCGACCCGCCGCACAGTGGATCAAGTCAACGTGATAGATCGGAACAAATTTGGAAACTTTAAACGCCCGTAACTCCGTTAATGCAAAATTTTAAGGTTCTACAAG